ATTCTTCCTGAACAGGCTGCACTTAGTAAGCAATCACTCAAACTTCATGTGATGTGATCTACATGTTTGTCCATGCTTATATGGGCCGCAGATGACCTAGGGGTTAGGTCACGCCCCATGTACAGTACGGAGGATATAGTCCTCCAGGAGGACGGCCCAGGTTTGAGTCCGACCCATGACTCCTTTCCTGCACTCTTCCTCACTCTCTCTTTCGTTTCCTGTATCCACTGTCCTATCAAATAAAGGCAAAATCCCCAAAATAAATCCTAAAATAAATGCGTATATATGTCCCTAATTGGCTAAATATTTCCTTTTCTTTTGCTTTGCTAAGGAAGGACACTAACATATGTTTTTCCCCAAAACATGTGTTTCCACCATGAAAATCATCTCTATGAAAAAGTGTCACAGTCAGTCTCAGGTGCTACTTGAAAACACAAGTACTCTCTTACTACTAACGCTAAATAATATTCCATAAGGCATACTGTCAGCATCTCCTGTGCTCGTGTACAATGAGTTGTCACTTTTTTCTGCCTGTTTTGCTGGTTAAGATGTGCAACCATGACTGTATCCTCTGATCAACAAAAGTGACTGGAAAGAGGAAACATGTTCTAATGTGCTTCTCCTGCTCAGACTGTGGCCCAGCCTGTGAAATGATCTTTCGAGTATAAATAAAGGTTGAATGAATACACACAAAAGTATGAAGGAATAAGAAATTAATACATTAATTGATAGCTACAAGGTATGACGGAGGATTAGGGCCACGTTAAAAAAATAATAATAATTTTGAGATTAAAGTAGAATAAAGTCGTACATTTATAAGATTAAACTCGTAAATTTACAAGTTTAATCTTGTAAATTAACGAGTTCGAGACCAGCCTGCGCGAAAATGATGAAAGTAGAACTCTTAAAGTCTTTAAAGAATAAATAATAAAGTGGTTATTTCAGTCTATATCAGAAGAGCAGCAGCATCCTGTTCTCAAATGACAAACATGGAGCATCTTGTCCTAAAGGTTTCATTAATAAGGAAATAGGCTACTTCCTTGTGTAGTCGGTAAAAACAGTTCAAGAGAAGTTTTCACTTCAACTTGTAAGAACTTGTTTATCTGTAAAATGATGAACAGGACACAAACTGTCTCTGCACATGAGACACTTTAACAAGGCAGACCAATAACAGACACAAATAGTTGTGTTGGGGCTTTACTTGTGCAGATATGAAACTACACATGCTTTTGGCACATCATCATCTTCACATTGCCATAAAATATCAGCACCCTGAAAAAAATACTGCAAGAAACTGAAGAAAGAACCACACTGACTGGAGGAAGTTGTCTATAGAGGAAAATACTTTAAGAGTTCTACTTTCATCTTTCATTTTGCGCAGGCTGGTCTTGATCTCGTTAATTTACAAGATTATTCTTGTAAATTTATGAGTTTAATCTCGTAAATTTACGACTTTAATCTCGAAATTATTAATATATTTTTTTTTAACGTGGACCTAATCCTCCGTCGTAACAAGGTGCTCCCAATACTTACTTGAGAAGTCTGAGCAAACAACTTTTACTAATTTCTGGTATTACTTTGTGCTTATTTAGCTGAATTTAACCAGCATTTTATTCTTCTCACTGATATACTGTACGAAGGTGCAACAAGAGCAGTCTCGGAGTAAAGACAAAATATTTAGAGCTCCACCTGCTGACTGGCTGCAGTACAGATCAATGACCCTACCTCCTCCATGTTAAAAGGGACATGGGTCAAACAAGTAAGTTAAAGGTGCACTATGTAGTTTTGGTAGAGAAATGTGAAAGTTGGAGAAGTATACAGATTGTGTGGTATATGTTCATTACTCTATACACAAACTGTCCACAGAGGAAAATTTGGTCCTTGTAACTCTTTTTGAAGATAAAATGCTATGTGAGAAGATATGATGGAGGGCCCGCAACAGAGAAACTGTAACTCTCCTGGTAACTTTTAAGCTCCAAACAGTGTTCCAGGGGTCATTTTTTTTATTTGAATAAAGTTTGTGTATTTAGATCAGAAAATATAGCATATTGTTTCACTTCTCCAACTTTAAAATTTCAATTCCAAAACTCCATACTGCACCTTTAAGATACAAGTATGTTTTTGTCAAACCCAGATTCCATCCGGATAGTTCGTTATTATCATGTTGATTTATTTCCAAGTGTTGCTTCTCTGAACAGATTTGTTTTTATTGGTTATTTGATGCAAAAATAAGAGCAGAAATTGCATGATGATCAACAGTTGTGTTGACATATGCAGCTTCTTGCTGTGTGTTTTTTTCTTTTTACAAGATTAGCAGAGTAGAAAATAAAAATTAGATTCTGCACATCAAAATTTCGTCCGCTCGCGCAGTAAGTCAGCAAACATCACAGGAGTGTTTTGGCTTCACTTTTGTACAACAGGTGGCGATGAGCTGTAAATGTTCTTACACAGTCAACATGCACCAGGAAAGAACTTGCGTGCAAACCAGATCTATTTTCAACATGGCTTGCATCAAAAGTGAGATGAAATCTTCTGAGACATTTCAAATGCTAAGGGTGTTTTACAGCACCTGAAAGTACATTCTTCTTTTCTCTTTGAAGCTATCTTACTGCTTCAGGGTTCTGCAAGAGAAGCTTTTGTTCAACCATGCATGGCGAGAAGCCTGACGGCTGCTTCAACCAGCCGACTGGTAGCACACTGAAACACGTGAACATGTTAGCAACAGTTCTCTGGATGGCTGCATGTTCTCTTCATAGAGCCCTTCCCATTGCATAATAGAAAATATCCCAAACACACAGTGCCTCTTTCAAGAAGTGCACACCTGCATGTTAAAGCATGTAAAACAAATCCTACCCAATTTATCTTCCTCACACGATCCTGAAGTGTGAGTGGGCAAACTGTTTATGTTGTCCTAATAAGTTTAGCGAGGAGCATAATTAATGCATGTTATAAAATGTTTCCTTTTGGACATTGACAGGGAGGTTTGAGGAAACACAGTCAAGTCTTTCATTCAACTTCTGGTGTGGCTTTCTGAAATATTTTTTCCAACTTTGCTGGTTTTATATAGTGCTCTTCAGTTTTTTTTCTCGAGTCCATAACTCACAGAAAGCAGTCTGAAAGTGGAGGCGACCACACTTGTATATTGCCACACATTCTTCATAGAAAACTTGGTATATTATTATCTACACATTTAAACCAAACTGCCCACTCAACTCAGCGGTATATATTGTACTATTATGCACAACAAGCAAACACACACTCGCATGCAGCTCTTTTAAAAACAAGGAGCCACACAAGTAGTATTTTCTGTGGCACCAAGGAATGCACTGAAACAAACATGATACATTCAGCTGAATGCCACCATGAAACCACACAGCCTTCCCGGTACGCTGGCTGGTGTGCAGCCTGGGGGAGGCCTCCTGGTAGGCTATATTTGGGGGGGGGGGTAAACAGGGTTCAGGTGAAATACCAGAAACGGCATGACGCGCATACACTGACATTGGAGACAGGGTCAAAGCCACAACCCCAAACCTCTAAACACAAGACATATGGTTGTGTGTAAATCAGCTGATAAGTGAATTTGTGTTCTTTATGAGTTTCAGTGACAGTCTGTTTTACTCTGGTGGATCTGTTTGAGCAAAGCCGCACACTGTGCAGGTATAATAAGGTGACAAAGTCAACTTTAACCTTGTGAATAAAAACATACCATAACCCTAAACATTGGGTGCAGAGTTATATGTTTCTATTCATATGTGTGTGTGGGGGGGCCTGAAAGCAAGCTGGCTAGTAACTTAAATGGACTCTAGTGGCTCCACTGGGTATACATTTTTACCCCACATCATGCACAAAGCATACACACACATTCACACAAGGAATTCAGTAAGCCATCTAGTTATAACCTTAACAAATTCTAGTTTCATTTTCAACAGAATTTGAACTTTTGGTGAATTAAAGAAACTTTGTTTTTTTTTTCCTTTTGGTTATGTTGTCTGCTTATTGTTTTATATGCAATAATAAGAAAGCAAATTCAATTTCATTCAGTTGTCCCAGAAATAAATTTAAACCTTTATATATATTTTATTTTTATTTTTGCATTGAAAATTCTTCAATTTTCCTGTCTCACAATGAAAAACTGAGGGATTTAATAACATCTGTAACATCTGCATGTTGACTCAATGGAGGTATAAGTTTCAAGGAAAACAATAATATAATATTTTTTTATTATAATGTTATAATACTCCTAATCAATGTAACCTATATTTTCAGAACACCATCCTAATTGAGGAATCTAGCGGGGCTCTCACCACATCTGGCTTCTTCCTTGAAAATGAATACTATGGACAATAGGTCACATGTTATCATATTTAAATAGTGTGGGTATAAAGCAGACATATTTTTATGTATCCTAGTAGGCCTACATGAAAAAAAAATCTTGTCCATATAGCTTTGAGTTACTGAGATAAAAACAAAAAGTATTGCAAACATGCTCAGTGTCCCACATGTAAAATCTATTAATATGGCTGCACCTATTAGCATAATGTAACAGCCAATGGCTTATTGTGTGGTAGAGTGTGTACGGTGCTGAATCATATGCTGAATACACTTCAGTCAATGTGCTTGTTGTACGAGTCACTGAACCCGCCGTGACCCTATTTTGCAAACAAAACACTTGCTTAGGGGAGATTAATAAACAACGGAAGAAAATAGAACAGCTTTGAATCCCTGCTTTATTTTTTTTTACTTCTAACAATGTGTTCAGTGTTATGCACATTACCCCTCCTACGCACACGTCCCTGATCATCATGCAATTAGCTCTGACTCATTCTATCCGGCATTGGGGGAATTAAGGAATAAGGAAAAGGATTGATGGAAAGATTCAATTCGTACTCTGATGAATCCTCTTCTCGCGTATAGACGATCTTTGTGAGTGGCGGTGGCCAACGTCGCCTAGCAACCAACTACAACAAACCTCATGGACCTGGAGTTAGCTAGCGAGCTAACTAGCTAGTCATGCAACGTGTTTGAAGGAAATCAAACAAACTTGAGTTTATCTCGTCAGAAAAAAAATGGTTAAACAAACAATACAGATATTTGGCCGTATTAAACCCACAAGGAACACTCCGGCGGTAAGTTAACAGCCTAAACACAAAACTGAAACACAACTTATTAAGCTAACAGGAAGCTTATTTAAGCCAGTGAAGGTTAACGTGATGCAAGCTAGTTTAGCAGCATTCCTCTTTTCATTGCGCACACTTGTTATATCACTAAGGAGAAAAGCACCACTGTAACTAATGACGATAATAAAATAGTAAATGGCTCCCTTCCATTAAGTGTCCAATAATTCAAAGTGACACTCACTGATAATACAACATGCAGCACTAACACCTTCATACAAGCACACCTGAATGGAATGCACTCCTTTTTCAGGTATGTCTACTGAGCTATGTATGAGGGACAAAAAATGACTAAAGTATATAAATAAATAAATAAATGAATGTTGGGAGAAAATGCATACAATAATGTATAAATAAATAAATAAATCCATCAATAAATATATAAATAAATATAAATGCTGAAAACAATACATCAATGAATAAATAATAAATACACTTTGTTAATGAAAAAGGCTATTTATCTATTTTTTACATATATTTATTCATTTATTAGCATATTTCTACAGTTATATATGTATCAATGCATACATTTCCACATTAATTGAGTTATTAATTTATTTCCGTATTTTTACATTTACACATCTATTTATTTCAGTGTCCAGGTCGTAAGATGAAAAGTAAATTTGCTTCTGTCTGTTTTTCAAAATTGACCAGTCCTACTTCAGTAATGTTAGAACGGCCCACTTAATTTACATATTTACTTTTCCTTGTACAACATGGGCACAGAAATACATAAATACAGATATGAATATATTTATTTATATATTTATTGATGCATTTATATAATTATTTATTTATTTATACATTATTGTATGCATTTCTCCCAACATTTATTTATTCATTTATTTATTTATACTTTAGTCATTTTTTGTCCCTTTTTTGACACTTTTACTGCCACAATGTTCTGCATGATTACTTTCTTCATAGTCATCTTAATAGAGTCATCAATAAATAAAATGTATTCTGGAAATTTCATATCTCAAGGTGTCAAAAAAGTGTGAAGCTTGAATGATAATATTCACCAAGCCATAATGATATCCCATAAGGATGATCTTTATTGGATTCATATGTAAAGCAAAATGTCAGTTACAATAATACAATGCAAAACAATGCAGCACTGCCTCTCTCCAAAGTGTAAGTTACGGTCTAAACACAGCAACCATTGGCAAAAATATTCAAATTACTTTGTGGGTTTCTTTGGCACCTTAACTTAAGCAGAGAATATCCACTGAAATTAAATGAGCACAGGTACCTCCTCAGAGCTGTTTGAGGTTCTGCGGTTCTGCACATGTGCCACGTGAGGACTACAGAAACAGTGGTGTTCGGGTGCTGCGGGCTGGCAGACGGTGAAAAAACAAACCAATCATTTAGGTCTTATCTTTTATTCCTCATACCCTGGGGACATGTAATTGCATCAGTGTCCATTGGAAACATATGCCAGAACATATGCTGAAGCTAAAATACAAAGAGATGGGGGGCTGTTAAGATTGACCCAGCCAACCCCTCTTTAAATGTCGTCCCCTGCCAAAGCTCAGTCTATATTGGTTTAATGTTGTGCAGTTTTTCTCAACTCCCCTGAGGCTTTTGGTGAGCGGAGGTGATTTTATAGAGCTTGCTCACACTGTCCACTGATCATGGCTGTTCTTTTCTCGTGCAGTCCACAGGATCTATGCTTCATAAACTCCATCTTTCAATTTTGGTGCTTGCAAAACCCAAACCACAAGTGGGCAAACATATATTTTAAACCAAACCTGATGTATTGTCACTGTTTTTATTTTAGGTTGCATATGTAGAACCACATACCATAACAGCATACAAATCATATAACACATACAGTAGTGGACATCTCTTTTAAAACAGTACATGAATGGCCATGTGGATATTTTGAAATACTCTCAAAATATTCTCCTGTTGTGTTAAACGTCAGCCTGAAGGCCGTGTTCTGCTGTAAGACTGCCTCTGACCGACTGCTGTTGTCTCTGGCTCCCTCAGGTATACTCTGTGGACAATGAGGATCAGACAGGTGCTTCTCTGGAGTTTGTCATACCCAGGGATCTGGCTGATGGCTTTGTCAACAACAAAAGGGAGTGCTACAGGTTCAGGTAGGGTGTGATGGAGCTGTTTGGTTTTTTTTTGTCTACAAAACCTCATTCGCTATAAAAACCAAATTAGCCATCCAGTTTTGTCTAAGTGAATTAAAGTTGTGATGTTTCATCGTAATGAATCTGTTTTATATCTGGTAACGAACAAACGTCTCCTTGGAATTTTACACTGAAGAGCGATGATGGAACTTATTGCAGAAAAGGTTAAATACACAGTTTTCCAGTACATAAGCAGATACTTTACCGTGGTGAATAAGAGCTTATCTAAGGTTATTTATCAGACAAAGATAATAAACAGCAATTCAATTAAATTGCAATTCAAAGGCTACATTAGCATGGACATTTTCAAACATAATTTCGCCTAATCATCAAAACACATTTTTTACAAAATAACATATTAGTTATAGTTGGTCATAAGTAGCAGACTTTCAATATTCAGTGTTTCCCTGTCACAGATTCCAAACAGGTACAAACACTATAAAAAGTTTCATGTTAAAAATCTGTGTTTCTAATAAGCTTGGTTGCCCAAGGAGCAAACAAAGGGCAGGAGAGATGTGCCAAAACTCTTCTTCAAAAAGAATTGATTGTTTTATTTAGCGTATGTTATGTTGAGTAATTACTGACTGTCAAAGTACATAAAAAAAGTTTTTTGGGGGGGCATTTAGCTCTGTATTTATTAAGCCTTTAACCTGACAAAAAAAACGTACAAACGTTCAAAAGTCACATTCAACTGGTTTATAGGGTACAATTCTTTATAGAAACAGAATTTAAGGCAAATAAGAAACATGATAGAATCTTCATGTAGTCTTTCCATAATGTCTGAATAATCAGCTACACAGGGCAAAGTGGGTACAAAACATCAAAATAATAGTGATGTCTTATGTAAACTGAAAAGAAAAAAACAAGAATCTTGCTGATGACCACTTCTCGATGTAAATTAGCTCCATTTTGAAAGATTGGTTGCCAATCAATAAAGAAGGTATGTTACCCAAAACACATTTTAGACCTTCAAGGTTGCATACAAACTTTTTCCCATGAATAATTAATCTACCAGTTGTGTCGTTGCAGAGCCAGAACATCTGTTTAAGGCTGGTGGTGAAGCTGCAGCCTTATATACCCTCTGGGCAGGGCACATGCCACGCTTCCAAGCCCTAAATTCACAGTTAGGGAGTCAGACAGCAGTGGACACTGAAAGCCTCTGAAAACCACAGAGCCCTAAAATAGCCTGCGGAGGTTCCCTCGTGCCCTTATAGAAATAAAATGTCCACATTTAACAATCTTTCTGGGCGGACTCCTCTCACGTCGCTCTCATCTTTCTGTGGGATGAAACATGGTGGCTTGAGACTGTTTTAGACAACAGAATGACTAAACTCCTCCTGATCCGCTCAGCCAATTATATAGACTGCTTTTTGGCTGATTCAGTAATACTGTGGGGATCTGTGGTGAGCCTTTATGCATGAGATAAACTCTATGTTAATGATAAGAAATGAATTGTCTTTGTGCTTCTTTGTTTTGTTTAGGTTCCAGAAGGTGTTCGATCAAGCAGCCAAACAAGAAGAGATATTTGAAAACATTGTCAAACCAGTTGCAGACAGGTAAAATCTTCTCACATATGTCAACTCCAACTTCTAATTATCTCATTTACAAATAACTTTTGAAAAAATATATCCCTGTCCACCTGTGCCCAGCAGTCTTTTTCCCTCCATGACGGGTTCAGGCCACACAGGCTTCAGCCAGCCATGTTGACAGGAAGTCAGTAAAGCTTTGTTTTCTTTAGGATGGAAATGGAGGTTGTCTGTGATTTTTGGCGTGCTTTGCATTCTTAAACCACTAAGTGGACTGAGCTGGCAGGCGGGATGGTACACTGTGCCATCTGTGAGTGTTAGAACAATTTTTATGCCACAACACAGAGTTATACCAGGCACTGTGTAACTGCTCACTCAATTTGAGCCGTAAGTCTCCTAAGACTAACCGGCTGAAAAGTATGGTGCTCAGGATTAATGGCTGAATTTATTTTTAATGTGTTTATTAGTCAAGGCATTATCTATATAAAGACGAGATCACAGTCAAATTAAGCCGATATAGCCACAGTTTAAGTACATGTTTAACTAATGGTTGATTACTTTTTTTAGTGATTGAATAAAACGTGTTTTTCTCTTCCTAATAGTTGTGCTATAAGGAGTTTACGATGAACATTTTCAGGTTTCAGCTGCTCTAGTCAGGACTATGTTGCAATTAAGTTTATTTCCAAGTAAGCTTATAAATACAAAGAAATGGTCTTGTTACTTTGGTGCATAACAATCAACCAAAGGACATTAAAACATAAGTTCTGCAACCGTTGTTAAACTTAAATCAGTTGAATACAAAATATTCATACACATGTATCACTTGAAATATGTACAAATTCATTATTTTTAAAGTCTAATGAAAATACTGAACAGATTTTTTCGCTGAAACGTGAAATATATTGAGTGTGCAGAACTTAACACTATGAAGTACAGGGGATATGCAGTATATATAGAGATTAGTTCAGAGGATGTGTGGTAATGTGATGCAAGAAGTGACTGAGGCTGGATGAGAGTCTGGTGGGGTCGGGCAGGGAACCATGAGGGGTCAGGGGCCCGTTGTGTCTCAAAGACTTTGTGTGTGCGTTTATGTGTTGGGGTGGCAAAATCTGACCTGCATGCCTCGGGGTCCTTGAGGTGTACAGGTCATGGAGAGATGGCAGATTGCATCCATAACCCTCTCTTCAGAGCGGATGATTCGCTGCAGCCTGCTTTTGCCTTTGGCAGTGGCGGCAGAGTACCAGATGGTGACAGCATCTTTGACTTTGGGACGTGGGATTTCCTCATCTGCTGTTGGAAGTAAATCTTTGCTTTTTTGGCATCCAATAGGGTGAGGTGCACTATGTGACTGTGTTTGTCCTGAAACCCCCAACCATCTCCACTGTGACATTGAGAAAGAAAAATCTGTGAGCTTTGGTAATATAGTTGACAAGATGTTTGATATTACCCAACTAGATTTAGTAAGAAAAATATCAGCTGCTTTTCATTCTCTTTAAATTCCACACATCCATAAAAAAAAACATGTTTTGCTTTTAAATTTGATTCTTTTGTCTCCCAATTATTTTATCCCATTTCCTGATCCTAATAACCAAATACCTAAGACACGTTGTTCCCCTTGCTTTAGAGACTCAGTCTAAATTTGGACATACTTCCAAAACAGACATCTAAAAAGGAGGGGGAATTAACTTGGAATTTCCTGTGATCAAACATTGGTTGTGTTGTTGATCTGTTTACAACTTCCTTCCTCTCCATCTCCTTGTCAGCTCTGTTCTCCTGCATCAGTTTAGCCCCATCATCTCCTTAATCATCCACCTCTAGACTTCTTATTAGTCACAATAGGGTTTATTTTCAGAATCCCACAAGTGCTCATCATTATCTTTTCCATAAGATGACTTATAAACAACAGTGTGAGACGTCTGGATTTACTGACTCAAGGCTTGGATGTGTTTGACCTGACTCACAGAGGTTCACTGACTCGGGTATTTAGTTGCTCTGGCAGGCCTCCTTCAAACCGTTCTCCCTTTGTTGTGGCAGATGGTAAACATCAGGGTTCAACATTTCTGTCACAACCAGGCTATGTCTTGGCATATTAATTTAAGCTTTGCGTTTTTTGCCGTTGATATGACTTTAACGTCTGGTCTGCAGCCTAATGGTCACCAGTCACCCAGTCTAGTCATGACCAGTCTGTCTCCCCGATCGGACATTTCTTCTCCTCTGTTGGTTTCTTTCCCCTCTGCAGGATGTCTGTGTACTCATTGAATATCCTGAATACCACAGAGATTTAACCTTTTAATTCCAGTATCACCAAAGTTGCTAAAAGGCAAAATGAATGGCCTGAAACGTATCCAAGCCCCAAAGCTTAATGGTGCGGGGAGACTATTGTAATGTGAAGTATTCTTATTAACTTTGTTTCTTTTCTCTATATCAAAATGAGTTTGTAAAGGTCTTGTACAATGGTGTGGCCATAGGCTCCATAGTACCCCCTTTAAGTATGTTTTGTGTATACGTAATGCTAACTTTTGAGGTCCAGACTAACCAAAATGGGAGCATTTCTTAATTATGACCTGGAGTTTTTGTGTGTATTTTTCCTTTTATAATTGGCATATTTGAACATCCATCCAAATGTCATTAATCCTAACCGGCCATACTTTGGCAGCATATTAAAAAAGACCTTAACATTGGATTTGTTAAAAAAAATTGTGCTAGAGTTTCATTTTCGGTCATGTAGGCATGCCAATGTCCCATTTTTGGCCTCAGATATACCAGTATTCTGTCAAAGTCATTGTGCGAAGTAAATGTTGTCAAGTGTAAGTATGTTGTCAACAAACTGCATCCAAAATATTGAATTCATACTGTGTAGTATTGTCATGCATGGCTACTGTATTGTCTTTAGCGCTATAGTGGAAGGTACTTCTCACTCCTTTGTGCTTTTCAAAACACAAAAAAAGACAGCCATGGAAAAATCTTGTTGCCAATAGAACTTTTGCTCTGCAACACCCCAAGAAATATACAAAGTTGCTTCAAGTGGTGATTGTATTCTGTTGCTTGTCCTCGCTACAAAGAGTATTGTTGACATTTTGGAAAAATAGCTTTGTGAAAATCAAATAAATATGAAGTCTATGTTGATATCGACATCCACCAAGATACTGAAGCATCCTTGGTGAAAGATATTGTTTGTACCAAGAAGTGTTTGGAAACTTTTATTCAGGTTTGGAGTCACTTTTGATTGCAGCAGTTTTGTTGTGAATGCACTAAAACCTATTTTTTCTGATGTACATCACGCCTCTCCCCTGAACCTGTCAGGTGGTCTTTTTGGTTGGTACTCGTTCATACTTGGAACGCTTCATCTTAAGCTAAAAGCCTTAACTCGTTTACTTGCACACTAGTCTCGGTCTTTGCTGTGGTGTAAACGAAACCAATCATTTCAACCACATCACGGGAGTTTAAAAACAAACCAGTATTAACGGCTCCAGGAGAGGAGGAGTCATGGAAATGATGCCGGGTTGGCAGGACAAACCCTCTATCTAGATTGTAATCCCATTTCACAAGCCTTATGAACCCTGCAGACGAAGTTCAGACAAGTTTCTGTTCAGTCTTATAATAAACCCAAATTACCGCAAGCTTTGGACACACTGCTCTTAATAAAATGGACAGAAATAACAAGGATCTTCTAGATGAGAGGTAGCCAATCTCCAGGAAAGCTGAGGTGTAAACAGGAACAAGCATTGGGAAACGCCAAAGCCTCAGAGGCAGGGCCCAAGCCGCATCATTAGTACTGACATTTCACTAAACACAGAGTCTGTCTCGCATGTCCCTGATGTCCATCACCGTGATGACTCACTCTGGATTAAATGGTTGCCAATGGTCATCCAAGTCAGACTAACCAAGCAGCATTTAAATAAGTGGACGCTGTGTTTTATATAAACTGACATACAGTTATTTTCCCTTTGCCTTCACATGCAGGGTGTGGAATTGTACAGCATGCATAGAGGGAAACCCACACACTGCTTAAATACTGGTTTGGCAATTCTATTAAAATAAGTGAGAGGCTTAAGTTCATTTATAATTCATCTAGAAAAATATACCATCAAGATATCATTTTCCTTGCAATTGGCACGTCAGAGAGGAAAGAGTTTTTCCTCACCTTTGATGCAAGCTCGCGTGTCAGAGGCCTCTGTGCGATCTTACAATTTCTTTCTGATTTATTTCCAAGAATAAAGAACAGCAGTTTTTTTCAAACTCTGATTATATCCGACTACCATCATACTGCATATTTGTTCAGCTCAAACAGTTGATTAGATACAGTTGGTTTCCATTGCCCCTGTGCACGTGTGGAAGAGCAGCTTAAAGCCAAACCTAATTTTGACCAGCCCCTGCCTCGTTGCATGGCTTTGGTCCCTTTCCGTCACTCATACTCTGAGACATTTCTCCCTTCCTGGCAGATGCCTGTCGCCATAGCAGCCACTCACGGCCATCTTTTTCTGTTGATTTAAAGTGTCACATTCAATTGACTCAGGCTTTTTGGTGGTCGGGGAGATAATTAAAAGTCCCTTGGACTCTTTCAAATGAAAACTCTGACGTCATAAGAGGCTGCAGTGGGATGATCAGTGTGGTTACTTATGACCAACAAAATACAAAATAACTTTACTTTCCAGTGTCGATCAATTATCTGAAGGCTTTACTTGTGTTGTCTGGTTGCATAAATTTCTTTAAAAAGGGCACAGCAGTGATCATAAACTGTTATTATGTATGGTGTCATCTCTTTCTATGATCTCATGGAGTTACATGAACAGCTCATCCATGAGCCATGGTCCAAGAACTTCTACTGCACTTGCTCTGCTAACTAAGATCAACTGTTTAACTTCACTGAATTTGAATTCTTAAATATTTTCTGTTAACACTGCACTCTGTTTTGGACAATTGTACTGGTAGTTATCTGCACTTGAAATCACACGCATACCTACAGATCTCATCCACTGAACCTTCTGTGTTTTTATATTCTGTTATACATTTTTAACATTTTTATCTTCTATTTAATGTCCCGGTCAGCAGGAGCACTTCTGTACTATGACGTTTTCCATCAAAATACAAAGTCAAATGCCTTTATGTGTAAACATATTTGGCAATAAGAAATAATACTGATTTGTGTATTCTATCTGCATATCTGATGATAGTAATAAATCATGATAAAATACTATATAAATAATATACAGTATCGTGTCTATTGTTGGTATCAATAATATTACTGTTGAATTACAACAAACCCTCAATGATTTTGGTGCAAGTGTCACTAGCTTAAATATTTTTTTAGTTGAATGTGATCTTGCTGTTCGAAGAGAAGCTTTGACTTTACGTTATTCTTCTCAGTTCATCACCAACACTATTGGTACTGTTTTAAGTCAGGTTACTATCATTATAAATTGAACAGGATGAAAGGTTTTAGTCCGCTTGTAAGCCAGAGATAGTTGCAGCTCAGCTCAAACCAGAGAGACTTGTTTTCAATCCAAAGCTTCTGAATTCATTATGTTTTTTTCTTCAGCTTCAGCCCTGCTGATGCCCTGTCTACAGCATGACACAGATTTGAACAAGCTTCAATCACGACTGTTTGTTTTAGAAAGGAGGAATCTTTCCGGTAGAGTCCTCAGTCAATGATGAACACTAAAAGGCTGTTTTAAGTTTTGTTTTTTTAGGTTTACAGCTAGCTTGTTGCTCCTGCATTGTGTACAGTGGCTCAGTTTAAAAAATAAAGTCATGTAAGTGGACTTCCTTGCTGATGAACCGTAATGACCTTTCCTTAGCAACCAACACAAACGGATATTAAAGATAACTTAACTTATTTAAGGAGGTACTGAACATGAGTGAATGTTGCCAAGGGTCTCCTTCTGTGCTCTTACATGTTGTATAAATGTGTTGTTTTTGTGTTTGTGCAGTGTACTGGCTGGCTACAATGGCACCATATTTGCCTATGGCCAGACAGGAAGCGGAAAGACATTCACCATCACAGGAGGAGCCGAGCACTACAGAGACCGCGGCATTATTCCCCGGACCCTCTCCTACCTGTTTGAACACTTCAGCCAGGTCAGCTCAGCAGATTATCTGAATGTAAACATCATGCATTCAGTTTATCTGATGTCCATTATATATGCTTTATTGTTCTCCTCATTCACAGGACAGCAGCATGGTTTATACCACACACATCTCCTACTTGGAGATCTACAACGAGATGGGATATGACCTTCTGGACTCCCGACATGAAGCATCTCGACTTGAAGACCTACCGTCAGTTCTTTTTAATGACGCTGCTTTTGCGTGCTACATTTGATCAACAATAAGAAGCATACCTGTAAAGCTGAAATCACCTGAAAGACCTGCACTAATATGTGATAGAAACAGTTCTTTTAAAGATGAATAGAGTAGTTTTTACTCACCCTATTATTCCCTCAGACACTCGGGGGTTAAACTGGGATTTATTCCTTGGACAGCCATTTGTCAGCCTGGCCTGGAGTCAGTATGTGGTGAAATATGGAGACTCTGGTATTTACCAGCTCACTACAAACTGCCAGCTGACATAATGAGACTGTGGAACAGCAATGGATGTGGTCAGCCCGGTGGCGGACCCTGCCACTGGAGTGGAGTGCAAGAGGGTCATGTGAAGAAAAAGCTAGCAGCTTCAGCAGCTGGTCTGAGGGAATTTCTTTATGTGTCTCAATTTGATTCTTTTTCTCTCTCATTCTGGGCCTCCTCCCTCCACGCTTTCGCCTGTCTTTGTCATGTCTTATTTGTTTTTGTCCGTTTCTCTTCTCCGCCATCATGAATTTAATCCGTCGGGAGGTTTTGTGTGTGCATGATCAAACTTACTTCTTTGCATTTTTTTTTTTGTCGTACCAGATACTTATTCATTTCAAAGTAGTGGTTGCACTTCAGGCGCGACATTTAAGTTCTTCTCTCATCGCAGAGGTTCCAGCTCAGGGTTCTGATACCCACAAATCACAGACTTCTGGAAATAGACAGTGCCCGTTGTTAACCATGCTGCGGCCACACTTGCTGATTCAAGGAGAAGCCGTGGCAATGACAGAATTCTTTAACTGTTGGTCTGCTTCTGTCTTTCACTCCATACTGCTTTCTTTGTTTCTGACATGCTTGTTGTGGATCAGCAGCAGAGCTTGTTTTCTTGTTTTAGTTAATGTTGTGGTAATAATTGGAGGTACTTTAAGTCGGGTGATTATGTGGGGGGTACTGGACAGGAAGAAGAAGAACTGTATTCTCACTTCTTCTCTTCTCTATCTGCATTGATCACATGATGCATTTACTTGTGGAAAAGACAAATCAGAATCTATTTTAGATTGGTGGTGAACAAGCCTTTAATCGCATAAAGATAAACACTATTTCATTAAACAAATGACCATAATTATCTACATGTGTTCTCCAGTTATGCCTCCCTCTTTGACATCCATGTCAGTAGCTATGCTGTCAAAGCTCTGGTGGCACGTTGGAAATAATACAGTGGGATCAGAGGAGTCTTTTCAGCCCCATCTGTCAAAGCATGCTGTGTTTCTGAGCACTTGATGTGGGGAAGAACCAATCACCTATTTGTTTTTCAAAGCCAGCCCAGCCTGTTATGACCCCCCCCCCCCAATAGATAAAACACATGTCAAACCAGGTCTCAGCCCACACCGACTTACAGATGTGGTTTGTTTGGATTTGGAGCTGAGCGAGGCCAGAGTGATGGGAAGGAAATGGATGACATAACTGACATAAAATGAGTTTTTCATAATTACTTCAGTGTTAGATTAGATGAGTTTTAACTGGATTTAACCTTCTGTGTCACTTTTTTTTTTAAATTCACAACTTGAGACTGATTCATAATGCTGGCATTTCTGTTTAATAATATCTGTTTTTCCTCTCCCAGTAAAGTGATGATCATGGAGGATCCAGAGCAGAACATCCATCTGAAGAACCTCACACTGCAGCCATCAGCCAATGAGGAGGAGGCTCTGAACCTGCTCTTCCTGGGTGACACAAATCGTATGATTGCAGAGGTAAGAAGGGATTGTCAACTACTGGAACTGTGTTTCTATAATATGATCACACTAATCCATTCTTTATAATCAATATTATAATTAACACAAAGTTTGATTTAATTATCCTGCCAGTGTGAGGAAGATCTTGATAATCAACTTAAGTCAAAGTTTAGTAACATTGTCAAAAGATTTGAAGGCACACTCTACTCCTTACAACATTCATTGTTAAAGATACAATATATAGAATTTTTAAACAAAAATATCCAAATTAATTAAAAATGGACTAACTCTTTGTTTTATATATTTTGTGTTGAGTACTTACATTACCTAAAATAATTCCAACAGTTATCAAAGCCAGAGAAATCCTTAGTTGTATCATTGCCATGGAAACACCGGATGTTATGTCAAAGACCGCTACATAAGGAAGCGGAAACTGCTACTGAAAGCTGCAGTACTGTTGCAGTACGTGCTGCTGTGATAAAAACGTAATGTAAATGATCAGCTCCTCAGTAAACATCCGTTCGTTGTATAACGTGAACTCAGACTTTGTTTATATCTGGGGTGGGAGAGAGGTAGCAGAGAGAATCACTTCCATGATTCCCCGCCAGCCTCCACGTCATCTTTTGTTATTGTTTTGATTGAGAGCCTCCTGGAAGCAGAATTTACTTATTGTGTGTTTAAGAAATACCTGTGATTCTAGTCGCTCCTAACATTAGCCAAGCTGGAACTGCAAACTCTGAGTTTCCCACCTGAGGATGAATCAACTCAGAGCTCAGGGTTAGACTGAGAGTTTGTTGAACCCTATTTCTGAAACGGGCCCCTGATGTTTCTCTTTATGCTGAGAGTAAAAATGCCCAAAATGGATCAACATTAACAAAGTAAATTGTATTACATTCCCCTTTTAAGATCCTTTTGTGGCTCAGTCCTACATGTGACTTTTTCCTTTTTATTGACTCATCATAAATGCGGTGTTTCACATAAGGACTGTAGACACTTACACTTCATGCCACTTCCTGAGTAAGTGGCTTAAAGTGTATTTTTTTTGTCGACATATGCAATGTGCGCTGTAAAGGCTACCTTAAGACCCCTCTAAAATATTATTTTAGTCCCCTGTGGTCCCTTTTACTATGGTTTTCCAAACCTTCTCTCTGTAATTTCTCTTTATGTTGTGGTGTGTTTTTTCTACACTCAGACACTCAGACTCTCCACACTGATGAGACATGTTGTGGTTTAACTTTCTCATTGTGACCTGAGGTTTAAACTCAACCAGGGCTCAGCACCTTCTTTACTCTTATTGCTTGTTTGTAAGTCAATCAGAGACTTACTTTAAGTAAACCAATGCCAAAGATCTTAAAGATACAATGTTGATATTTCTGTAGAAGAATTAGTATAAATAAGTCAACAAATGAATGGAGGTATAAATGATGCAAACATTTTGGAAATATGAAGATGAATAAAAACGGATTAAGTACGGAAATTAAAATAGATTGAATTGTAGAGTAAAATGAAAAACTATATAAAGGAATAATTATAAGAAAATGTAATTATTTTACATTTATCTGTTCATTTTCTTTCCCTTTCTCACCTTTTTTTCAAGAAAGAAGTGACCTCAGCTAACGACCCTTCAACATTTAGCAAAAAAAACAAAAAACATTTAGTTTTAAAGACCGGGTGGCAAAAGAAAAAAATAGATAAATATAATTTTATAGAATCCAGACATTATATTGTCAGTATTGTGTTAAAATACAGTGTTTAAAAATATGTAACTTTTAAAACATGTAACTTTTTATTCTTTTGTTTATTACTTTAGTATTTTTACAGTCAGGTTGTCAAAGTGTTGTTACTTTGATTTCGTTACCACGTGTTTTAAAACGATACAATCTCCATTAATCATCCAGAGTACTGATAAGAACCAATGCTTTGAGAAAACTACAGACCTCTAGTCATCTTCATAGTCATTTCATTTCACCTCATTCATTTATTTCCTTATTTTCAAGTAGAACAATGTAGATGCATCCCTCTGTATCACTCTCCTCTACATCTAGTCACTGTCTAAATTACACAGATACATTTGAAACGTCTGCATTTGTGCCAACGTATTTGAAGAAGTCACCAAATATTGGGTGCCTCGGACTTGTATTTTTGTTGCTGTGATATCAAAATTAAAACAGATATCATATCTAAGTTACCTTCAATTTTAAATCAATTAAAAATAAGAAATCACTCGATATAGGGTGCCTGTAAGATTTGTGTTTTTGTTTGTTCAAAAACAGGTATCACTATGGTAAGAATTTTACTGATATTGTATCCAAGGTTAAAAATGTTGTTATCGTGACAACCACATTTACAGTTAAACTAGACTCAACTCTCCTTTCATCCATTCCTTTTTCCATAAGGGTTATACTGGCACTCCTATGACTCTGTAGAGAGCAAAGTGTCCGCTGCAGAAAAACCTGGGGGGTATATATTTCATTGGAAACTCAGTTCTTGGATTTGAAATGAGTCTGTTAATCAGAAAAAGGAGGTGCTGCACAGTTCAGTGTGGGGGAGCCCCCGGTACAGTCCTCCCACACTCGTCCTCTCTGGACCTTCTTCACAACAAGGTTTCTCTTGAGCCTCGAGCAAACAAAGCACTGTCAACAAAATCCAATATGTCCCTGCCAGAAACATCCCAGAAGATCTCAGTCCACAAAGACTTTCTTATAAAGTGAACAGTAATGCTTTCTTTCTTCTCCCGCTCCCAGCCATGTGGATCAAGGATGACACATTTATTCAAGCAACACTCAGCCGACAATGAGCTCATTCGCTTTGAGACTCAGCAATCCCCTCCACACTTTTATTGGGCATGAAATAAATACACCTTCTCAACTCCTCAACCCTTTCCTTTAACCTCGTCAGGAAACATTTCCTCCCATCTGGTCTTTTTCCTGTGTCCCTGTTTCAGTTCTCTTCTCATGTGGGGATGCAGATTCTGGATCTCCCCCCCCCCCCCTCCATATCTAAACTCCCACTTGAACTTTGGGGGTTGAGAAGGGTTCATTGCAAGTGAGCAAAACACAACTTAAGTCTCAATCTTTTGAATCAGCAATCTAAGTGCTCTGGGGTTTGTAGGCCCAGATTGCCCCCTCGTTCTGACCCACTGCAGCTCTGTGTGTGGTCAGCATGTGGTCCGTGTGAGATCAAAACGTGGTCAACACAGGATGTAGGTAGGAAAGCAGGAGAATAAAGGAAGTGACTCCAATGAGATTATTTTGATCTGCAGATTTTAAACCACTAAAATGGACTTGACGCCCCTGTGTATACAAACGGGCTGTGAAGTCAACAAAGTAGTCCTTTAAACCTGCATTCCTTTTAAGGGCCAACAGGGGGCGACTTCACAGGCTGCTCCTACAGTTAGCCAACCTTTTTCACTGGAGGAAGTAATAGGATCACCTGTATAACACAATAAAGTTCAATAGCCCCACAAATGACATACAATCTAAATGAGATCATAAATAGATTCATGAAGCACCTAATAAACTGTCAACTCAGTGCATCATTTATGACTTGTAATGTCCAAGTAGATTCTCTGTCCTTTAGTGCGTACAGTATCTCCTCTTATCGTCAACGATATGAATGAAGTACTGGATTAAATTCTGATTTTGCAGTTAGTTTTTAAAGTGCAGATCAACATTTGTATATGTTTTACTGCTAAAAGAAAATTCACACTTGAGCAGATAAATGTTGGTGCATTATTTGATGTGAGGTTCAACTGAGAATTCAACTTCACTTCTGTCAGTACTGATGTGCTCTGTCTCTTCTATTCATCTTCTGAGTCTGCAGTTTTTTTTGTTTTTTTTAAACACTGCCTTTCAGTTGAAGAAAAAACAAACAGCCTGAACATCACAAGTGAAACAGAGAAGTCTGTTGGCATCAATCAATAAAAAAGAAAAGAAAAACAATCGAAAAGCAGCAACTTTTTCTGTCTTCTGGACATTTGTTGTTCAAGATGTTCATTTTCCTACTTACCATCAGGCTGTGGTTATGTTATATCTATGAAAGGGAATATTCATTTTCACATCTTTTTTGTGTGCTTTATTTGCTCTCTGTATTTTGCTGTGAAGCTGCTCTTAAGTTAGTTAAGTTAGGTGTGATTGACTTTCACAGCATGTTTTGCATTGTGAGCTGTGATTTCTGAACACCTGTAATATTTCTTTACAGTATACATTAAAAGGGAATTCTGTACCTTGAATGTTTTTTTCAAGACAACATACTGGACAGAAATAAAGCTTACACGCGTGTCCCTGCTGTCTGGAACTTGACAAACATGCATACTTATCGAGATTTAGCCTGGGTTTGATTGATGTGGAAAATAGCTGTCAGTGGTAACACTGCAAAAAGTATTATTACTCACAATGGACACCATGTCCTCACTCTTGAACCTTTATTCAATCCCTGGATTTGTCAGCATCATCTTCTTCATACTCCTTCAGGGGGATACCCTGAGTGTCAAACATGGACGTGTGCAGAGTGAAGGGAATTTGGACCGAGGAAGGAGATGATAGCTGCAGGTTAAGATAGTGAAAGATCTGTCATGGACTGTCATGAACTTAACAAGCAGGTGCTGGCACATTTACGCCAAAACAAGTCAGGGTCAGAGCACTTCTTTAAGATGAACGACCTGGAATGTCTTGGGTGATGATTTCAAGCAAAGAGAAAGAGTTAGTCATGTCCCAATCATAGCTCAATGACTTGAAGAATCTCAGCCTGTGTTCCAAGCTGATTTAGATTTAGATGCTGTTTGTCGTGAGGATAATTGATCTCTTGTAGTTTGAAGATGTTATATAAAACCACCATCATGTTTCAGCCGCCTGCAAACTATGGCATTAACAAAACAACAAAAAGTCTATAATCAGCACCATGTCAGTGAATATCCATTTCCTCTGTTTATTCCCTCCTTGAGGACTCCATGAGTAACCCTTCCTCCTCCAGTTAATAAAGCGTGTTTGTTTAGAGTGACTCACACCCTATTTTTGTCTCCTCCTGGTCTCAACCTGACTTCTGCTCATCCAGTGACCATCTGAAAACCAACTCCAGCTTTTTGTAGAGCCGCCTCCATGTGTTTGCTGCTCATTGGTTACACATGGTGCAGCTTTTATCTTCAAACCAGCGGGAGCAAGAAAAAAATAGGAATCAAAGGAACATGTTTTTGTTGTTGTTTCAATATGGGCTTTTTGTATTTCAAACATTTGTATTAAATCCTGATGAGTCAGTCTAGTACAAAACCAGACCCCAAGACCTTTACAATGTGGTCTCTCACCACTCTTTATTTCCCTCTCTCCCCATCCAGACTCCAATGAACCAGGCATCCACGCGTTCCCACTGTGTCTTCACGGTTCACCTGTGCAGGCGTGAGCCGGGCTCAGCAACCCTGCGGCGCTCAAAGCTCCACCTGGTGGACCTGGCCGGCTCTGATAGAGTTAGCAAGACTGGCCTGAATGGGCAACTCCTCACTGAGGCCAAGTACATCAACCTCTCCCTCCACTACTTGGAGCAGGTACGTAGACACTTCTGACACATGCTAATCAAATAATATATTGTAAACAAAAAAAAATAAACGTTCTCCAACAGTTTGCTCCATTTGCTGTGTTAATGATTTCCTGTGATTCATTCCTTAATGATCTGTTGAGGGTAAACCCTGCACTTTTAAAATTGGAGTTTTTACCAAAGAGGGCATGTCCTCAACGACTCCTTAAGATATCAATACAGGTTGACCAATATGTACGATTTTCCACTGAATTACATTGCAAAATGTCCTCACTATATGATCAGACATTAAGGAAACATGGTTTGTTGAAGTGCTGGTTTCTCTGATAACAATGCAACAATGCAGCAGCCAGTCTGTCCTCCTTCTAAGTTTAGATTCTGGTCCTGAATGCTCTGTTTTTGTTTGGACTACTGAAAGTAGCTGGTTTTCCGGTGTTCCCCTCGTTTTGGATGGTAATCAGGTGTTGCAGCAATTGAAGCGGGTGAGTGAACTGGTTCAGATATAACTGATAGTACCCGACCTAAAAAGCCTTATCATTTATCTAACATGCTCCAGGAGCAGAATAGGGTTAAAGCTAGGATCAAAATTGGAGATGCTTTTGAAAAATGGAGAGAGGTTTGGACGCAGACCGATGCAGAGCTGGCTAAACACTGAAGCTTCAGTGTCTGCGACATGGCAATCGACTCTAGGGTGGAGGGGGGTGGTGGGATAGCTCACTTCAGTGTTTTGAATTTGGACTACAGTGCCCATTTTAAACACTAGGTGTCAGACTTACATATAGCTCCTTTAATGTCTTGTGATCAAAATAGATAATAGGTGTTAAAACCGTTATCATTTCTCCTTTCTGTCACTGACAGGCTCTGGAACAGCAATGTGGAATGTAGCCTTATGTATTTGAAGGAGCAATGTACCAGTTGATTCTGGTTTAAAAATAAATCATACTCTTGCTTGCTCATGTTTTGAAAGAGACTCCAAAAACATTTAGAGGCTGTCAGTGGAAAAAAACTAGAGATTTTAGTGGACATGCTGTGCTCTGATTGGGCAGACTGGATTTTAATATTTATATACAGGATTTTGTGTTTTTTGGCAATCTTGCAGGCACAGTATAAATGGTAATAATACACAATGTTAAAAAGGATGATTATGTTATAATGTCATGCATCTTGTCCCTCTGTCTCTCTCTTTTTTCACGATTCTGTTCTCAAGGTGATCATAGCTTTGTCAGAGAAGAACCGCTCCCATATACCTTACAGGAACTCCATGTTGACCTCTGTGCTGAGGGACAGCCTTGGGGGAAACTGCATGACCACCATGATTGCTACTATGGCAGTGGACAAGAGGAACCTTGACGTAAGGATCTGTAACTCTACCATGTTCTGTCCAAAGATGACTTCGAACTTATTCAGACAAAGATTCTGTTAGATTGCAGAGAAATGTAATGTCATAGTCTTTCTGCCCTGAAAGCAGTGTCAGTATGTTATCTCATTAAACCTCATCTTTATTCTATGGATATTAAATCCCAACAAATAAAATAGTTCCCCATATTTTCAAGACATAAATGAATGGTTTTTCTGCTTCATAATGCAAAGCAGTGCTTTGTGAAGATAGTATCTATATTTTCCTAACTTTCCATCCCAGCAGGCAGTCACTAAAATCTATAAAATAAATACTAAAATATGACAGAGTAAAAGGGAACAAAAGACTTCTTTGAGTTGAACTTTTTATAAACTTTCTTCTTTCTGCAGGAGTCCATCTCTACGTGCCGCTTTGCTCAGCGCGTGGCTCTCATCAAGAACGAGGCGGTACTGAATGAAGAGCTGGATCCTGCCCTGGTGAGAGAGACACAGCACTTCACAAATCTCTACCAAAACTGAAGAACAGCCATAATAACCATACCACAGAAACATGACTTATTGAGGTTTTTACAGCTAGACCCTCCTGATACCAACAAGACCCTTAAAATCTGAAAATTGTTTTTTTGTGAGAATCAGGCATCTACATCTATGTCTACACCCCCCCCCCCCTCCTCTGTGTGCTGGTGTGTCTTCTTCAGGTTTCCAACAGCAAATTAGTTTTCCAGTGTCAGACACTCACTCCGACATAAGCAGTTTTCCTCCTTTGACACATGTTTTTTTTGTCTGTCTTGTAATATTTAGACTGCTCACAGGTCCTGTTTGCATTCCCCTCTCCGTCTCGTTTACATGCCTTCAGTTCTCCTACGGCATATTTTATCAAAATACCTCACGGCCTTTTGAGGGAAAATCCAACTGGCGACTGGTTTGTGTATACGTGTATCGAGACATCGTGCAATCTCTGCCCAGATGTTGTAGGTCTGAAAAGCACAGCGCTACATTGTTAAGCCTCACTCCCTACAGCTGTCCTTCTTCAGTATCATTTTGTGAATGCAATACCTCGGAAACACCTGCAAGGAATATCTTCAGTTTGTCACAGACATTAACAAGACCTGAAGCACATTTTATTTAATCTTTTTTGTTTTTCAATCCCTCTCAGAAAACAAAATGATCTGTAATTGATTCGGGTACAGTCTTCCGTGGCTTACCCCTCACAAACAGAGAGAGCTGTTCTGTTAGGTAACGGCAATACATTTCAGATAGTGAGTTTTTAAAATATTTTGAATATTCAAATAATTCCCCCATCCTGGCTTTTATTAATGGAAACCACAGCTTGCCCAGCTCGTGGAGGCAGGAAACTGGCAGGCAGAAGTTGTAGATGAAAACAAGATTGGGCATTCTGTTTGATTTGATATATAATATATATTAACTTTCTTAATGGTAGTGATCATTCTTTTTACTGAAGAAAATGAAAGAGTTGTAAGATGTAAAGCAGAACATTATTTGGCAATAGTTAGTCAGAGCACGGGCTGCAATGTGCATAGAGCTGTTGCCTCAAAGCAAAAAAGGTTTCTGGTTCCAATCCCAGGCTGGACGGGGTCTTTCTCTGCGGCGTTCTCCTCATGCATGCATGGGTGCTCTCCAGGCACTCCAGCTTCTTTATGCTCGTTAAGTTTAGTGGTCACCCGTAGGTTTGAGTCTGTGTGACTGGTTGATGTGTCAGCCTTGTGATCAACCCTGTCCAGGGTTTACGGTTTACCCTGCTTCTTGCCCAATGACAGCTGGCATTGGCTCCAGCCCATACCCCCGACCCCTGACCCTAAATGGTATAATAAATAATTGATGCATGGATGAAGTCCGACATATTTCCATACCTGCCTTTTGTTTCTTTAAAAACATTGTTCAATGATCAATAGGAAATCAGATGAGCAGTTCACCCAGGTAAGGCCTTAACAATGGTTTTCCCTCCTTTACTTTGTCTGAATACTTTTTTCCCCTGTATGGTAATGTATCAGGAAGTAGACCTTGGAGTTGATGTAAAACGGCTCCTTGAGGGATATAATGTACGACGGTAGTCCTCCCCTCCCACTGTGACCTATACCCTAGGATCAACTGCTACTGTATTACCGCTGCTTAGACTTGGCTGGCCACTTGCAAACCCTGCAGAGGTATTTTTAAGAGAGTCTGCGGCCGTGCGCTGTAATTGTGACAGAGTCTGGCTGCTCCCTATCGGGTCCAGCTCTGTTACAGCTTCAGGAAAAACCCGAACTCCGCGGGCAAACGTCTTGTCTCTGTTCATAACTGTGAAGTGTGTTGCTCCCGTCTCTCGTCTGTCTCCTTCCATCTCCCCGCCTGATTCGCTGACACAAAAAAGAAAAGCAGCAGAGCAGTTTACAGATTAGAGTGATGTCATTTATTGTGGTTCAGCGTGACAGTCAAACTCCCATTTTTGGCGTTCCCCCGTCTTTAGGCACACCGTCTATTTGTCAAGTCGGCTGTTATAATTGATTTGAAACCTCGAGTAGGCTTTTTTGAAATCTTGCAGTCACTGTTTAAGACATTGTTCAGACCGCATGCTGCCTTAATGGTACCACCAAAGCTTCAGGCTTCAAATGCATTAAGACTGAACAGCAGGAAACCAGCCAGACCAGACCAAACATTTAACACGTCTCTGGTGGAGGGAAAAGAATGAGGTGTTGAAAGTGAACCGTGATCAAAACGAAGTCAGCCACAGTGACCAAACCGTACAAGGCTGGCTCTTTTGTTTCCTCTAAGAGCAATAAGGTCAGTCCTAATCCTCCAGTTAGAGCAGGATGACTTTGGTCTGCATCTGAGAGAGTTGTCACCAGTTAAAGAAACTTCCAAGAGGTTTCCACCACCTTGCTATATCCTTTATTTTGAGTGCACTCCATGGAAATGTAAGAATTGCTTGCACTGAGTTTGTTGTCAGCCTAATTGCCATCAGACCCTTTTCTGTAATTCTATAAGGGTCAAAAAGTTTGATCTTAACGTGTTGTAATGCAGCTAAGCAGAGGAAAATAAGAGGCTTGGTGACCCCTCTGAACCTGGACCCTCCCTTCACTTAAAGATACACACAACATCTTGCTTGAGTAGACAGCTCTGATTAGCGCATACCTGTGAATCAAACAGAAGCCTGCCTACAGCCCGGCAGGGAGACATGTGAGGGAAGCGTGTGTGAAAAAGATTCCTGTGGGAGGGTTGGCTCTCCCAAGGTCCCTGCTCTTTCTCGTGTAAGCGGTTGATGCTCCCCATGCACTGAAGGTAGTTTGTAACTGCAGTAGTGGTGTGGTAGAACCTCCAACCTAAACGGTGCCATGCGTGGAACAGAGCCCATCTGTTATCATTTTGTTGTGGAGGGGATAAAAGGCCTTGCCTCCTGAGTTAGTATGTGGGAAACTGTGACTCCTCTTCCTTCATTAAAAGACTCCCTGTAATAGCAGCAGGTCTGTGAGTGACGCACTACGTAAGATGCATGCATTTGTGGTGCAAATAAACTGCTGGGCTTGCTGTTTGCTGTGGGTGGTTTTCTTCACAGGAGGGATAGAATTTATTCAAGAGGAAGGTTTATAGGTATTGCCCAGCAACATGAGAACAGTAAATCCATGTGATGAGAGCTGTGTCCCCACCAAAGTCTTGGTTATGTTTTTGTTTCTTCTTAACACTGTTGATCTTTTACAGGGAAAGCAGACCATGCCGTGCCTAATTGATCAATCAGGCTGTGTAATCTATGCTTATATTCAGTTGATTTCATTGTGACGTTCATGGCATTTGGAACATAGCCATATTTTACAAATATCTAACCAATTTGTACTTATTTTTACCTCTTGAAATTGACCTTGTGTTTTACACACAGTGCATAATCTAAGCATGGTAATAGGTGATGTCTAGCACCACAAAGTAGACACAGAGAACTCTTCTTCACTGCTTCATGCACTCTCTGAAACACGTGGAAATTCATGTCATTTGTCAATCTGTCGCTGTGCTGTAGGAACAACTCACCCATTCTGTGTGATGGTGCTAGGGCCCATTCAAGACCGCTTGCAGCATAATTTTAAATAAGGACATTTTGTGTGCACCATTAAGCTCACGAGGTGAGAGTGTGAGCCCCATGTACAGCGGCTCATAGTCTCAACACAGCTGCACCCGGGTCGACTCCAACCTTTGGTCCTTCTCTGCCAGGTTTCCCCTCTCTCTCTCGTACATGTTCACTCTTCCTGTCCTCTATTTTATCAAATATAGGCAAATGTAAAAAGTCATAAAAAACAGCATTAATCCGCACATAGAAAACAACACTTCTGTTAATGTTTTGTTTTTTGCATCATTGACAATTGGCTTTTTTTTTGCGATGTTGCGTTTCCAAACTGGCATCATCAGTCACATGTCCTGACTCATTTCTTTATTCAGAGCGTCTGAAAGCCTGCACCGGTGCTGCGGTACCAGTGTGGGTCTACGCTCCGAAATAGAAGAACGATTCCGCTGACCAACAACCGGCGGTCAGCGCCTCAGGATGCAGCTGGGAGAATTACATCAGACCAAAAGTTCCAAAAAAGAGATACAGGGAGTGGTGCTGGTGAGGGGGCGGTCAGCTCTGATGTTCAAGGTTAAAACATACGATACGGGTCCGGATTAGGGATGAAATTTTCACTGAGCTGAGTGGCACCCGACCCAAACCGCACTGCAGGTCTGTTTCTCCTCAAGAACATCTCGAGTTGAGCATGTCTGACTTGATGACGGGTTTTGACTTTCCTGTCAGAAGTTTGTGTTTGTTAGAAGAGTGGTTTCTACTCTAACTTGGGTCTGACCTTTGACTCCTGTTTAGTTTTCACAGAACTGTGGCTCCCTCACAGCACAGTGCCACTGTGAGTCTGAGGCACACTATCTGTTGTATTGACTTTTTTCCACCGAGACAGTTCACTCAGTCTGCTGTAGTATTTTGCGATGTGGTCAGACTCAGTGATTGTAGTAAAGTGGGATTTACACTGAAGACAGAAGTGGGTCATGTAAGAAAAAGAACAATTGCTACTTGTTATTTCTGGTGGTTTAGTCTGTTATTTTTTTGCGGTGAGATTTATGCAGAATTTAATTTGAACTGAGTTGGCTTTCTTTTGTATAACTAAACTATCCACTGATTCTGCTCTTGGCCTTTTCTCTCCACCATTAATCGGTAATCACAGGTCTCTGCTTCGACATCGTATGTTCAAAAGGGTCTTTTTTTTCTGTTCTTGGACTGATTCCTGTTTCTTCAAGCAGTTTGGCAAATGAGTCAAAGCCTAGCAAACATCTTGTTTAATTTCCTGCAGAAGTAAAAATCAAATCATAAGTTTTATAAGTAGTCTGCCCCTCAGGGTTGTGGCCCCACTCACATGTAATCATAGCACCTAAAGTTCAAGTTCTGGCACACTGCTAGAAGCTGCTCATGTTAAGTTGGCTCACCTCTAACCTCTTGCTCCTGGTTTGGACCGGGGGATTAGGACTTAATCCCATTTAAAAAGTCTGCTGTCACACCAACACAGAAGACTTAAATTTAAAAAGCTCGGTTAGGGTTGTGGAGAACAATTAATGGCTATTGTTTAACTCATCTGCCTTACATTAACAACATCAGCTTTTATATCACCAGGGTTTCTGTTTCAGTTTGCCTGTTGTATTTTTATCAGTCAGTCCCAGTAGTACATGTCCTGATGTTCATGGAGAGTTAAAACACAGATCAAAGCTTTCAAAACAATTTGAAATGACTCTTGTTCTTCAGAAGAGCTGCTATTTCCAACATCAATCGTCCTTTCATGTAAGGCTACTTCATCGATCATCTGAACTGACTGATCTTGTGGGTGCTAGGTAGCTAGATATCGTGTAATCCTTACCCAGACTGACACGAGGCCACTTAGTCTGACCTCTCTGAGCGTGGACCCCTTCAGTAAAGGAGAATAGAGGAACCACATGCTTATCTCCAGAGATAAAAGAAATTGTCCACTGGTAGCTGTTAGTTTGAGCCACTAATCCGCACATGGTTCTAATTTTATTTTGACATTTGAATTCTTCATTTTGGAGCATTAGAAAATCTTTTTTTTCCAAGATTGAGAAAAAACATTAAAAGAACAAATCAATGACACTGTGCTACATTAAAGAGGTAAATTATAAATATGACATGCTCACAAGCTTAGTGAGCTGACAGTTAGCTACAATGCTAGCAATTAAAAAATAACTTAGCTTTCTGGAATATTTTGTCTTAATTTCAACCCCCCCATCCCCCGTCTTCTGTCCCCTGTACCCTTTTACCCGTCCCCTTGTCCCCTTGTCCCCTTGTCCCCTTGTCCTCTTGTCCCCTTGTCCCCCTGTCTCCCATCCCTCTACCCCTACCCTGTACTCCTACCCTGTCCCTGGTCCCTGCCAACTTTAACCTGGCTGGCTCCAAAGACAGGCTCATTTAATAAATAACTCATTTATTTATTTATCAGTAGCCTACTGTTACCTTTACAAGTTTAGATCGTTTAAATGTGGTTGTGATACCTCTGGATTCTTAGGCTGATTCAGTGATCTTTTCCCTGACTTGTACCTGATTACTAACATGTTAAGTTACTAAAAAAGGTCATATTGAGGTGGGACAAAGCATGGACTTTTGTAGCAAACACAGTTTAAGGCAAGCATCTCATGCATCATCATGCATCATTATGCGTCACAGTTTTCTGAATGCTCCTGTGTTTAAAACGGACTGAAATTAATATTGATGTCTCTTCATGAACAACAGAAGCAAATGAGACAATCTGCATAAAGGCAATTTCTAAATAGTTATTTTTAAGCCCAGGTGTCAGACGAAGTGATTAACAGCACCGTGCATCATTTCACAGCAAAGATTCTTCATGAGTGATACATTTGACTGTTAAATGAAAGCAGGATGAGATTATTATGTTAAAACCATTACTTAAACATGTACAGGAAAAAATCCGCCAACAGAGAAGACATACTGTTATGTCCACAGGGGTCACCGAAATCCACACAAACCAAAAGTTTTTCACTGCAGCTTTAAAGAGTAAGGCTTCACAAAGTTGTACTGTTGTTTTCCTAATCTGTCATGTTTGTTTGTCCCTTCATTTCCTTATGTCATATTCTCTGTCATGAAAGTGACTGCCTGTGCGGGTGCTCGTATAAGAGAACAAACTTCTTTGAGATATCTGTGGGATGACGCTCTAGGCTGTTTATACGACTGTGTCTCTTCTCTGAGAATTTCTGACATTAACAGACATGCTTGCTCTAACTGTTTTTTTGTTTTCACAGAGATTGCTATCTCAGTCTGTCTTTAAGAAACTATGTCTGGAAGTGGTGATATAATTTGCTTTTTTATAAATACCGTAACCAGACACGGACAGTGGTTACTATTGGGAACCTGCCTGTTGGCTCAGTGAGCCGGTCCTAAACCAAACACGTGTGGACAGACAGCAGCAGAGGGCTTTATACGTTCTTTTTTGCCACCGTAGCTGTTTAATTCTATTTTTTATTTTTTTTTATATTTGGCTTCCTGTGTTTTCTCGCTGGAGCGTTCAGTCGTCTGGAATCACTTAAGTTTGTCCTCAGAATGCATCAGGAAGATAAGCCGCAAGATCATTTTCAGAAGGATTGTCTCATCAGTTGGCAACAGCGAAATAGCCGCTGTCTGTGTGTGCTTGTCTGTGTGTGTTTATTTTCTTCTCCAGACTGTTAAAATATGTTGAAGCGTGCTGTTTGACATTGTATGACACTAGTTGACCTCTAACCTTGCTTTTTTGTGTGTGTGTGTGCGTTTCAGGTAATAACACGTTTGAAGAGAGAGATCCAGTCCCTGAAGGAAGAACTCGTCATGGCGACAGGAGAGCAGAGGGGCGATCAGCTGACGGTGGAGGAGATCCAGAAGTATGCCACCTCTTGTTTACTCAGTTTCATGTTCATTACATCCAGTTAGTCTCCTGTCATGTTAAAGATATCTAGGTTTTATGTCATCTTCCTAAAATAAGTCAAATATGCTCCCATCAATCAAAATCAGCTGTTTAGTTCACATGCCTTCATTGCATCAAGATTAGACGACAGTCTATCATATTTCTGTAGTCCACTTAAGACAGCAATGAAAGGTCAAAGAACAAGAGTCCTGCTTTTTCTACAGTGGCTACCAGTTCACCAGTTTGTTTATAATGCTTTAAAGACTGACACACTTGTATGTTGTGAACGCCTTATCTCTCACTATATTTGTATTGCATCCTTAATGTTGCTTTGATGCAGGTTGCTTAACTTTTTCACAAATTAACTCCAACTCTTCTGGTGGTCCAGCCTTTGACCACCAAGCTCCATTTCTCTGGAATAGTCTGCACTATCCTGTGACGAGCTCTGCTAATACTAGAGCCTAACAATGTGTTTTCAGACTGAGACTGAAACAGATATCACAATGGAAATATCTGAAGTAACAATATTTCAGACAATTGACTAGAATTTCTTTTTTTTTAGATTTATTTTGGAGAATTTTGCCTCTATTTGACAGGACAGGGGATAAAGTAGGAAATCAGTAGAGAGAGTGGGGAGTGACATGGAAATTCATTTCGGGAAAGCAGCCACAGGTCGGACCAGAACTCTGGCCGTCATGACACTCCATGCAAAGACACTCCAGAGGTATTTTTAAAACAAATAATTGTAGCTATTTTACATTAACTTATTAAAGTTATGCTCAAAGTGTGATTAGAATTGGTGCTCTGCTTCATGTGTTGTAGACAGAGCTGAGAGGATTGTAACGCGTGGAGTTGGAGTTTGTTCTGCTGGACAAACTGTGATGACACCTTTCCTAAATCAACTCAAGCATTGTTTTCTTGATTATATATCCAGCAAAAGAAGTTTAATATTAGCCCATTACAAAAAAAACCATATAATCCAACACCTGTTAATCTGTTATAGCTTCATATTGCCAATGAAAATGTCTGTTTAGTATGACCTCACCTCATTTCACCTCATTTCACCTCACTCACCGACAAGCCGACCTCACAACACTGTAATAGTTTTTTTTTTTTAAATGTGTCCTTAACATCATCATATTTGCATGAATGCCAAAGCAGATATGGAAAATGTTTTTTATTGTCACGCTTTACCTGCATTATAAAGTAAAGAGAGGCCCATTGGGGGATGTGCACCTGATACATTGAAGCTAAAGTTGATATTTTGGCAAATGATTCTATCTACAGATTTACAGGTAACAGATGAGGGGAGTCAACAAACTCCCTCCAAGTCCTGAACTAAATCAAAAAACTCCCAGAGGACCTCCCAGGAGTCCTTACAATGGTTGGCCGATTCATAGCTTTAAATGACATCACACACTTCTTTAACATCCCACCTGGCAGGCAAGAAAGGACTTCCTACTGCTGTATGCTACGCAGAAGTTTTCAATCTCTGCTGCCACCTACAGTACATGTTTCAACTGGTTTTTGATTATTTGAATGAAAGACTTTAGATTATATTTCAATTGTGTTATTGTGATGCACTAACAAACAAGAAGACAAGCCCAGGTTGTGCTTCTAAAGAATTTCATCTGAAACCCAGTAAGGAGGAGATCGTGCATTCATGCTATAAAACACTCTGACTTCTCCTAATCCTGCCGTAACATTGTGCCAATTTGAGCAAAATGTTATTTCCTATTTACTAGGGCTGGGAATCTTTGGGTGTCTCAGGATTCGATTCTTGGGGTCACAAATGTTCTCTATTTTTTGATTCAAAACTATTCTGGATTCATGGAGCCATGGATTCAAAACCCCTACTATTTATGAACAGTACTGCCCAAGAACACGAACTGAAAGTGACAGCTGACAGTGAACCTGATACTTCTGGATTCTTAGCTAATGTTTACTAGCTAAAGTTAGCTAATAAGCACTCACCATGATCTGATGATGAATTTCTTGAGCTTCACTTCCCAAACAGTAGAATCATTGACCCAGCAAAAACAAAAATACAGTAAGCTATCTGTACTCTTGTAGACTTTCATCCTGCTGTAGAGTAAGAAGGAAGGATTCTCCAATTAATATCAGTAAACATGGGAAGGTGGTGGCGCAGTGAACAGTGCGCACGCCCCCTGTATGGAGGCCTTGGTCCTCCAAGCGGGTGGCCCAGGTTCAAGTCCCACCAGTGGCTCCTTTCGCGAATGTCATTACCCACTCTCTCTCTCCCTGATTTCACAACTCTATCCACTGTCCTGTCTCTCCATTAAAGGTACAAAAAGTCCCAAAAATAAATCTTGAAAAAATGTATCTGTAAACATCACCAAAGTGAAGTTCTGGTAAGGACTCTGCTGTTGCTATGGTGATTGAAATAGTGTCTGGTGTGCTATAGAAGAGTCGCACAGTATATCTCAATATCTGATTTTTTCTGTGCTTGTCAGGTGATGTAAACATGCATCGTTTTGAAGAGATGGAAAACTAAAAAGCCTGTGCTGCAGCTCCATGGTGTGTCCAGTAGTGGCCGCCACTCTGCGCAGCTCTTTTTGCCCTCCAAGGTGAGGCAGTCATCTCAGGACAGTCCAGACGTGTAATACTGCGGGCCTTAGACGCCTCAGACACAAACACAGGGAGTTTTTCTGGATTCTAATTGTGTGTCTGCTGGACAAAAACAACCCAAAGATTATTGAGCAAATGTGTTTTATGATCTAAAAATATTTGAGGTTTGCCTGAAGTGCCTACATGACTTATGCTCTTAGATATGGATGGATGCGGGGTTGAAGCCTTTTTCACTGAAGCCTGACCAGAACTAATGGAGTCTCCCAAGACACTCTTTCTACCAGAGCTGCTTTATTTGTTTTCATACTTAATTGGCACAGAGATCCAGTCAGTCAGGGCCAGAGATCAGGCCTGAGGTTTCATCCACCTCAGACATGGCTCATCAGCATCCAGTGCTGATGTATTTACCACCCCATGGCCCCCCGGTCCTGTTTTCTTTTTATTATTTCCTCTCAGCCTAATTATTATCCACGATTTCCCACTAGTCTGTGGTCAAAAATAATACACAGAGCCTTTAATGATGCCTGTTTTGACCAAACTCACTGGACATGCTGTCTTTTTTTGTTGTTGCTGTTTTCCTCCTTGGTTTATGCGTCGAGTCATCCCCAGTGCTGAGTGAGGGCACATTTCCTGGTTAATTTGTTTGTTTCAGTTCCAAACGCACTTCCTGCATATCCAGTCGTTCACAAACAGAGTGCTTTTCTCGAGTGCCCATAATCCATCTCCATACAATCTGCAGTCAATTTCCAGTTGTTTCTTTTCCCAAGTATAAAGTCAGTTTGCTACATTTGCTAGAAAACATATCAACTTGCACCTTGAACAAAAATATTTAGAAACTATCAGGTTCTTGCATTTGAAAGACTTGTTTTCTCATAGAAATTTTGTCACTGAAGGGCATCCTCGAAAGTCAAAATACGAAACACAAAACACCCACTGATGTCTTGCAGGACCCTGAAACAAGACCGCTACGTTTGTTTTAAATCCTTTGTCTTGTAAACTTAGCGTGTTTCTACTCTGAACACTTTTTCAGCGGAAAAAATACAAACCGCACGCTGGCGTGTCTACATTGGATCCGTCTGGACCGTTGCCTTCTGGTCTTTTCCATGGGCCTGATCCAGAGCTTGAAGAACCAATGTTTGGACGAACGTTCAGTTATAGTTTATCAACAGGTCTGCTCAGTGGAGCTGGAGCACTCGTTAGAGTAAATAGTTTGCTTTGACCAGACCCTCATTTTAAACAGGAGACGCGCTCCTGATATAGATCTTTTGAGTGTGTGGAGAGAAGGATGCTAACAGGGAATGTGGCATTGGTTTCAACTTTGGTAGGTTAGTAAGCGCGTGTGTGTCTCTGTCTGTGTCTTTGTGTTTAGGTTGGAAGAGTTAGTCAAAGCCTTTCTGGAGGACCCTGACCCAGACGTGACACTGTCATTGGGAGCAGACATGCGGAAAATCCAGTGCTGTTTCTCCCTGCTAAAGGTGATGTATTAACAGGAGTTTCTCCATGTACAGTATCTGAACTCATGTCATCCCATATAACCTCTCCTTTTTTTGCACCTGTTCATTGTTATGTTTTCCTTTGGTTTGGTGTTGGCTCTTCTTTCAATGACCAGATCGATGTGCCATCACCATACTAGTGGGCTGTGAGAAAACACTTCCTGTTCAGGTTCTGTTAATTTGTTTGTGCTTGAGTTGTGTCTTCAGTGTGATAGTGAACTGCTCCAAGAAACACTGATTCCATTAGTAAAGTGTCAGAAATGATAAATCCATCAGCTCAGTAATGACCAACTAACCTTAACCTTAACCTTAACCTTAACCAACTACCTCCCCTAAATAGCTCCCTCTACTGACCTCAGATTGTACTAGCTTTACATTTGAAGCAAGTAAAACTTCCTTTTCCACATTTATGTGGTTAATAATTCTTTGAATGGTAACTGTCACATAAAAATTATTGTATCCTCTTCACAGGTAAAGCTGGTAATTAGTAAGATCATATCATCAGGTCTAGCTGTTATTTAGCTAGATAATGCAAACCTTATTGAAGTTGCTTTGGCTGGAAAAAGAAAAGACAACTTCTTCCAGCACTGTTTATTTTCCCACGGCCTGACTTAAGTCTAGACACGTGATGCTATTCTTTGCTATTGTTTGCCATCTAATTAGAAGGCCGGTGCAATGTGACATGCAGTTGTTAATGTGAAGATCTCTCGAATAATTTGCACAAAACAAAAGAATGTTGTTAAAACATCTGACCATCTCATTCTGATGTGAATGTCAGTCTTTCTGATAATTTAGCTGATTATTAAAGTCATTGAATCACTCATTCATTACAAGTTCATTACAAGTATTTCAAGTCTAGTCTGGTTTATTTATAAAGCACATTTAAATCAACTCAACGAATTCACTATTTATCAGCCATTTAAGGTTAATTAAATAGTCTAGGTAAATCCAATTTATCAACCAGTAAAACCAACCTATCAACTAGTAAAATCAACCCATTTACCACAAAAAACATTTGGGTGAACAAGATGAACAAACAGGAAAACAGAAAAACAAACACAGAGCACTACAGCAGGTACTACAGTCTGTAATTATATCACCATGAAAGCCTTATTATAAAATAAAAATATGACCCAGAAGAATAGTCAACACTGTTTGTGTTAGAGAAGGATTTGAGAAGGCGAACTTCTCAAATCCTTCCTTTTGAAGAATTTCTCTACATGGATAATTGGAACTGATAGACCCCCCCCCACCCCCCACCCCTACTACCACCCTAAATCAGGAATGTTTCCTGTGTAGTTTCCAAATAGTTGTTGCTTGATGTTATGTTTATTTTATGCCCAAGACACTTGTTTTTGTGTTGAGATTTATGTGGAAAAAGTTTCCAATTGCATGTATTTTTCTGAATTTCAATAGGAAACACATTTGATTTACTTATTTGTTTTGGAGCAAAGTCCGGTTGGTGATAGATTTAATTTGAAATTTGCCAAGCAGCAGCTGATGGCCCACTGCTGCTCAGTGAGCGTAGGGAAAACACTGCTGTGCGCTCTGGTTTGGTTAAAGTTTGAGCATCACTCAGACGCAGATCCAGACCCCTCTGTAACATCTGTTTATCTCTCCCTCCGTTTGTTATGACCTGCTCACTCTATCAACTGTTTGGTTTACATTCCTCTAAGCATCACCCGTGATGGAGTTTCTGCAGACATTTGGATATGGTCTCAATTAGATTTCTTTCTTGATCATTTTTTTTTAATGCTGGTTTCATCTTTCATGCTCAAAACTTAACATGTCCTTGTTTCAGGATGATGCTCAAACACCAGAGTGAACATGTCCAAATTTATCATTTCAGCCCTCAGATGTAGCATCAACGTGCAGTTTTTCATCATTGATCATGTACACCAGTTTAAATATCAATTATTCCCCCTCTTATTTTCAGACTTTAATAGAATTGTCAAACTCATAGAATACTTAAGATGATGATACATTTAGCTCTGGTAAAATCCCAAAGGTATAGAAGGCAGCTCAAGTTGTTCCTTTACATAAAGGGGGTGACCCTAGTGACGTAAATAATTATCGCCCTATATCAAAATTAAGCTGCTTAGCCAAAATCCTTGAATCTTTAGTTAATTCTCAGTTAAGGACCTTCTTGGTGGCCAACAACATATTGCAAACTCAGCAGTCAGGTTTCAGAACAGGGCATAGCACAATCACAGCAGCAACACTTGTAATAAACAATATTGTTAATCGTCTTGATAACCGTCAACATTGTGCTGCTCTCTTTATTGATTTATCCAAAGCCTTTGAAACTGTCTACCACAGCATTTTAATAAATAAGCTATCTTCTATAGGATTTGATGAGCTCTCTGTTAACTGGTTTTATGATTATCTCTTAGGGAGAATTCAAGCTGTTGTTGCTGAAGGTATCAGATCGAGCTCTCCATTTTAGGTCCACTTTTATTTTCTTTGTATATAAATAACATGGTGCTCTCTTCCCCACATTTTGATGTACGTTTTTATGCAGACGACACAATACTGTATGCCACCAGCGCCTCTTGTGAATTAGCTATTAAAACTTTGCAGTCAGCTTTTGATGCCTTTCAGATAGCTCTCATTAATCACAAGCTTATATTAAATTCTGAAAGAACAAAATGTCTTTTATTTTTATGGTCCATGGGAACAATGTTCCTATTGGTATTCACACACTTCAGGGTTCCCAAATTGAGATGGTAGAATCTTATAAATACCTAGGGATTTGGCTGGACAATAGGCTCTCTTTCCGCAATGAATACATGCATGCCTCTCCCACCACCTTGAAACCCCTTGATGCTGTGTATCATTGCGCATTGAGGTTCGTGACTGGCTGCAAAGCTCTGACACATCACTGTATGCAACATCAGTAGCTATAGTCTACGCTCGTCTGACCTGTTATTGCTATCTGTACCTATGGTCCGCACAGAATTAGGTAAGATGGCCTTTAGGTACTCCGCCCCCTCTTCTTGGAACACACTACAGACTGACTTGCGTCTGAGTGATCTGGTTACTCTAGTGGAATTTAAAGGGATGCTGAAAGAGCATGAATTTAAATCAATTGGGAGTTGTCTAAGTTAATAGCCCTGCATTGGACACCTGACTTGACTTTTAATGTGTTTGTATGATGTTTTTGTGTGTATTGGCCATGCATCTACTTTGTACTTTTGATGTCTGTTACTTCAATGATTTTTATTATTTTATTTGCCACTGATGTACCCAGGTCTCTCTTGAAAAAGAGATTACAAAATCTCAATGAGACTACCTGGTAAAATAAAGTAATAAAAAAATAAAATAAAATAAAATAAAATCACATTTTCCCAGAGCAAACTTCTAAAACCCAAAGCCAAACCAAGACTCTTCAATAATATCAAAGACCAATAAAGGCATCCTGACATTTAAGAAGCTAGAGGCAGCAGTTTTTAATATAGCGCCAAAAGTGATCCAGAAAAATACACATTACGACCTCAGTCGTAGCACTGTCTACAACCAGTCTTTTCCCTCCTTATGTTTCATGTCAGTTCTCTTTTCAATGTGGGGGGAAAAACCTTCAATCCTTTAACCACCTGTCCTGAAACCTGGATTATCATTAACTTTAAAGAGCTTTATTACAGACAAGGGAAACAGGGAATTTCATTTGTGTTCAGGGGATCTCATGGAATTTAAAAGACTTTCCATCGCTTTCTAAGGTGACACTGCGATGTGTTTCCAGGCTAATTTACATCCTCAGCATCACATTGTTGTTAACACTATTTATGTTTTTTATTCTCAACAGCAAAGACAACTGAGAGAAGTCTGTAATTTCCTGTAGAAGTTTAATAAGCGAAATATGATTAATAACAGGTTGTAAAACGCACTGATTTGCTTTGTCAGTCATGAAAAGTCAGAGAGAAATTCTGGAATCATTGAATTAGTCATAAAGTATGAACCATATAATACATCTGTTGGCAAAAGACAACATTTAATAAATACAATTATTTTCCTTTATCCACTTACATTTTCTTCTTGTTTTTTATGCAGTCAATGATAATGTACCAGCGAGGTGGAGGAGATAAGCCCAGTGATGACAAAGAGTCACCAGGAGCCACCGTGAAGAGAGAAGACATTGAAGACGTCAGTCACAGTGCGGCAGAAGTGACCAAATGCAAGGAGATGCTGACACAACGGGATAATGAGATAAGTATCCTTTTACATGGTGCAGCATGCTGCTCAGCTCAGATCAAGCCTCTACCAAATAAAGGTTTTTTTCATATTACGCCACCTTGCCAGTGACCAGAGGTATGTTCTTAGGTTGACAAACTGAAACACAAATATTACCTCAGGAGAGATACCTTCTTATCTCAGTGATTGAACAAAGTCATCTGCACTCGATTAGTCTCCCCTGTGCACACCTGTTAGTTCTTCTGCTATTGTGAGATAGCATACTCCACACACAGAGGGAGAGAGACTTTCTCTTATATAATGTCCCTCCTATACCTCATGATGGTACAACACCTCCTGTTTAATGATTGCCTTTTATTCTAAGGCTACTGTAATCTTTCAATTATTTTGGCCTGACACCATGAGGCAGTCATTCTACTTTTTTAGGAGGAGGGTTTTATGATTTGTTTGAATTAGACAATATTTGATTAGTTCATTTGCTGAATAAGCGTTTCTTTGTTTGTATTCAGAATACGTTTTGTTTATGCAAGTCATTGACATAATTCAAAATAAATACACCAACTTTTTTTTCCTGAGATGTCTGGATTAGTAACTTGTTTACAAACAGAATATGTCTGTTTAATATCATCAGGCTAAGAATCTGAGTAGACTGCCTTATACTGTTCACTCTTCCTGACCGTAGTGTATGTAGGAATTTGCACTGTGCATTGATAGACATGGGGGGACAAATCTGCAAAAACAAAGAGAGAAGGGTAGGTTTCACCTCCTCTTGAAATGTGTATCAGCATCCAGCTTCACAGCTTAATCATCCCTACTGTTGATAGTAAAATCGTCATTAGGGGAAAGGAATTGCTCCTAAGTAAACTTGCCTGTGTTATTGCATGGTAGGATTACAGTGTTTCTATATACGCATATGAAATATGAAATGTACGCAGCCTTGCATTCATCACAAGTGGCCCCAAAATCACACACAGAAATGTGGTTTCAATGTGTACGTTCAGAAAGACGTTCATCTAATGACGGCAGTTCATCATCATTTCTATTAATCATAATTATGGTATTTGCTTTCGAGTATGATATTTCTAATGGCTTTATGGGATTATTCCTCCCTCAGCCAGTCCTGCTGCAGCTTGTCATTACATCACAGCACATTAGTTGGAAAATTGAGATGTCTCCTTGATTATTTAGCCACGAAAACCTCAGCGCTCCAAAATAAACAGAATATTATCATGCAGATATTTCACCGTGGTGTTTCTTGGACTGAGCATCTATAATGTGAAATCCTCACTTCTCTGTAGATTTTTCCTCTCAAATGTCATACACTGCTTGTCATTGGATGTAAATGGGATGCCAAAATTTGGTATCGTGCGTGTCTCATAGCACATAGCTCAGGCCAGTAATGCTCACGCTCCACTGACCATATTGCCTTTATGTTCCTCCATTGTGCAGTTTGTATATAAAGTTGAAGTAGCCTAAACTGTCAATCTCTCAGACGGGGTGGTCTGTCTGCAGCATGTAATACTATAGTGTGGGTTGACCAAGCCGGTATGGCTGATGTCATTTCCATCCAAAGCCCTTATAACTATCTATACTCAGACCTTTTCTACAACTTAAGCCTGTATCCGCTAATCACAATGTTTCCATGTCTGTTCAACTCCGCCCCCCTCCTACTCTGCTAAAAGCGTTACCAGGAGTCATCAGTTCCCAGACCGACGAGTCCACACAGAGTTAATTATGTGAGAGCTAACTGTAAAACAAAAGGATACATCCTTACCCACTGCCCCCATGCACGGCTGATTCGTGGTGAGCGGGGCACCTGGTAACATTTAAGTCTACTCTGCCAGGGCGATATCACATCCACCACTAACATGACGACTGAGTAACGAGGAGAATTAAAAAACACTTAACATTGCACATGCATTAGTTTCGCCCGTTAAAATGCCCTCAGAATTACTCGAAATTTCTTACTGTGGCCAAAACGTTTTGTAAAAACGTGCTTGGACTCGACAATAATTCATAAATTGGAGCTGCAATGAGGGAGAACATCCAATTCCCTCTAAATAATACCAAATACTATCCATAATACATTTGAGCATTGGATCTAAATCATATACCTCACTGGAGCTCATTTTAGAACATTTCTTACAACCTCTTTTCAAGCATACCATACTCCTTGAGATTGATAATCATAAAATGTTATTATAATTATTGGCCATCAAAAAGTGATTACAAATTTGTAAAAAAAAAAAAAAAACTCCACTCCGATTATTTTTATTTTTATTTTTGTTAGACCGAGGGTAACTGACTTGAAGACTCGTCTGTGCAGCACGTTTATCTGAGAACTTTGCAACCATAAAGAAATGTACCGAATTTCAAATGAACAACAAACAAAGATACAACCAGAAGATGTTTGTTTCCAGCTGCCAGCTGTTTCTGGATATCTGCAAATCAGTGCTGATTGAAAGAAATGTCCTAAATCGGTCTCCTGCTGATTGGACATGTTTTGCATTTGATTATTCATCAGTGAATTAAGATTTTAAGATTAAAGGAAAGTAAAAGATACAAATGTCTGCTTTCTGCAGGAGTTGACATTGTCATTGGCCTTTCTCTGGTAACTGTTGGATAACTGCCTCTAATCAAGTGTTTTTCAGTTGCACTGCACATTATAAACTGACCCCCCCAAAAAAAGATGTTTTGCATAAAACTACTGTTGGTTATTTATATGGAACCAAAGTATGGATGGAATACAAAACCAACAGAATTTAAAAAAAAAAAAGGCTTGTCCAGGCTACATGGAGCACGAATAGTTTAATTTTCATTCAGTTGTAACTGTGTTGATATTTTCTTTAGCTTGATTTTGTTGCTCTGGATGATATTTTCTGTGATTTTATGATGAGTGCTGATACTCATAAGAGGTCAACAGTTACACATGTCAGATCATTATCAGGAACTTTGTGCAAGACTTATTCAAAGTTTAAAGAGTTTTAAGCATCTTCAGAGATGTAAAGAAAATGATTTTTTGGCTTCCTAACATAGACTTTCTTGTTGTTGCTCTTGTTGCTGCTCATGTGTTATAGGTTCTTTGTCACAAAGCTTAACACAACACTTACACCGTGGATCTTTATCAAACTTTCCTTTAACCAGTTAATAACATCAAGACTCATTTCTCTATTACATCCCGAAATACTAATTTACTACACAGATTCAGATATAATGCTTAGCCCTATTAGAAGTTGACTACAGATAGTGCAGAAATATTCTAACATAAATGCTAAGTTATCAAAGTTTAACGATCATATATGACTTGAATGACTATCTGCATGAAATCCTTCCAATAAGTTTCAACACCAAAAACACGATCAAGGCATCAAGGTTCAGTTGTGTGTAGCTGAAGTACTGCAGACAGATACATCACACAACTGTTACTCAAAGGCAGCAGTCTGAATTTAGTATATTTCAGGCTTTCTATAATTCAAACAGGTGTGCTTGATGAAATTCAACCCAAAACATCTGTCATGAATTGAACAATGGCCTATGGAGACCAAACTGTTTTTGCTGCTGGCTGTGAACACTTTTAATGGTGATCTTAAATTGGATATGAGGGTCAATGGGGATTGACTCATTTTAACCAGCATCAGGTGGACATTCAAGGAACTGCAGTTTCTGTCATTTCACTGTTGGTTTTATTGCTAACCCGATGAAGTTGCTTTGCTCTGATTCCACATAAGAAGCTAACAATACAGCTGGTGGATTTTCTATTTCAAACTTACCAACCCCTGTTTTTCCTGATTAAACTTTCTTCTACTTTAATTGAATTCTATCATCTATAGAGACGGACAAAAAACATCTAATTACGTTAATTATCATAAAGAATGCTGCTTTTGGCAGCAGCAATTTGTGGCACCGTCAGGACTGGCATTGCTCGTTTTGCCAGCAGTGGTAATTAAAAGGTATTTTCTCTGTTTCCTGTAATGTCTGCGTTTTAAGACAGCATAATGGAGATTGACAAGAGAGATGAGAAGGAGAGATTGAGTGCACATTGTGCGCTGACTCTGACCACAGTTTTGAGTGCATGGCATGTGAAGCAGCCCACAGATCTGATGTGCAACCCCCAGGAGAAATGTTCATCATCATCGTACTCGAAGTGTTTGGTAGTGTTCAGCATAAATGGAGATATCAGATGCCAAAGATCTTGATAATGGAAAAACCATGAACATCAGTTTAAAGTAATGACTTGTATGAAACAATGACATAGAGGCCAGAGGAGCAGTCATATTTCTCTGTAGAACTTGGCTTCTATAGGTCATTTGGAATCGGGTCGGCTTTAGATTTTGGCAGTCCAGAGAAGACTGCATGGTTGATTTCAGTGGAAACTGTAATTGGAGACTCTGTTACTTCATGTTATTGTTCCCGCTGACATCCCCTTTGTGTTGGCTGACAGGAGAATAAATTAATGTCTCCAGCTCCTTGCGTGCACTCATCATTGAAAATAATGACATTTTGATTTTTTCTTTTTCTCCAATCGTCGCAAATTATCTGCTGACCACCACAGTTTCAGTCTGGCCACAACTGGATGTCTGCTAATCTCATGATAGGAAACATGTTTTAAACACAGACTGATGTGTTACCTCTAAATTATGGGTTATGATTAGGCCATCAAATACACGTCCGTTTATAGTGGAAAAACAGGCACACAGGTCAGGGCTGAATTAATATTTTATGAGACTCTCGTGTTTTATTCATGCAGGTAACATATACGAAGATCAAAACCAAAGGCTGGGCAGGCACTATTTCACAAGCACACGTCTTATAGAATAACTTCAGTGAAACTTTTGCCCCCGTCCCTAACAACCCCAGACAATATTTGATTTAATGCTCTCCAATGACATCTTAAAAGCTATCTTGGCAACTTTCTTTCTAATGTCTTGATTGTGTTTTACTTTATACAGTTTCCCCCAATGTAATTCCAGTTCAAGCTATTCCAATTTTCCCTCCATCAGCAGTTCTGATTGTTAAAAAAAAAATGTCCTCTGGTAGCAATGTCCTCTCATTTCCTGCCAGTGGTGAACGAGCAGAGTGCTCCCGTTAGGAAGCAAGAGTTACTCAACAAGTCATGATGCAGGTGTCAATTTGACAATCAAATTCTAATGTGATGAATGAATCTTCATTTTGAAATAATGTTTAGCAAGTGTAATAAAACACATAACACATGGAACAGGAGTCTATTAATGGAAAATGGCCATAATGCGTACAGGCGTTGCATAAAGAGAAGTGAAACATGTCATGGTAGTAAAAGTGAGAACAAGATGTTAGCATCAGTTCTCGCATTCTCTTAGCCACTCAGTTTTCTCCCTTAAACTTGCATAAGCACAAATAAGTGAACGACACATCTACATTTGGACTGTTAGACACAAACACAGATATACAACCTCACTGGTGGTAGAAGGTTTTTTGGAACCTTGTGAGAGATAGTCTGTTCTTCTTTTGAAGTGGAGTTGGATGAGTTACTTGTCAATCGCAAGCATATTAGCCACAGGAGATGAACACGTGTTGCAGAATAGACGCTTTCTGACGGAGATGCTAAATAAGCTACATTTTGTGGTGTAAATATCCCCATCTGCTATGTATAGGCTAGCTTCTGTGCACTCCGACCGGTGTTTTATTTCAGGGTCCATTCTGACGGGCATCTCAATCAATCAATCAATCATTAATAAGTGTTATCTCGAGATTGGGATCAGGCACAATGGTATGTAGCAGCGCCAGATCAGAGCGCTGAAGGTTGGGGAGCTCCGTCTACTCGAGGGCCTGGCTTCTGCTGCCAGGACAAGGCCTCTTTTATACACTTACTATTGACAAATACCTCATACAACCCCAGTTCAATAAAACTGAATTTAAGTACTTTGACCCTTCTGGCCCCTCATCTATCCACTGATTCAACCTAGACCATGACACTTTGCCCATTCCTGTAAGGTGAGGAGCTTAGCCCATGTCATTACCTGATTATATTAAAGTCCCTCATTGAATATGGCTGCCTTTAGAAAATCACAATGACTGCTATACTGTTACTGTATTTTCATTTGAGTCCAAATTAACTAATATAAATATTTGGCAGCTATACATCCCCAAAGTGTGTGATCATTTTGATATTATTGTTTATTTGTATGATCAAATTCACACACTAATTAAATGTTGAAAAAGGTACTTTAATATGCATGTCTTTACTTCATGTACGCCGGCTGTGGCTCAGTTGGTAGAGTTGTCGCCTCTCAACCTGAAGGTCGAGGATGGATGATACTACATAGCGATCACTACCATCAGTGTGTGAAAGGGTGTAAATGGGTGGGTGTGTCATGCAGTGTGAAAGTGCTTTGAGTAGTCGGAATACTAGAAAAGCGCTATATAAGCTCAAGTCCATTTACCACTTACGTTTCCCCAAAGGAAGCCAGCGTAGAGTCCTTAACTCAGGTCCTACAGGTATCCTCGTGAAGATGTTGAAGAAGGAGAAGAAAAGGGCCCAGGATGCTACTGCTCAGCTCGCTAACATCACCCATGACCAGAGCTCAGCCTCCCAGAGCGCTGTGAGGTCTTCCACAACCCAACTGCTGAGGGATGGAAACACAGACACCCCTTCCATGGACCATAGAGGACGAGCTGTACAGTACATGAAAAGAGGTACGGTAAGGAGCCTTATTCTTTATTTTTGTCGCAGTTTTCACAGGTATGGAACTCCTATAGTACTTGTTGGGACACTGAAATGGGACAGAAAATGGAAACTGGAAGTTATTAGTGATTTTATTAGATATACATGTGACTTTTATGTCATGACACGTTAAAAAATATATGCTGTGAAATGAGTTATATCTTATTTTATGTCACATAATGCAGTTTTCCATCATGTGTACATACATCCCTTTTATTCTTATAAACAGAATATCTTTCAAATGCCAAGTTGCACTACGCTCAAAGTTGTCCAGTTGGATGAATTGATCCGATTTTGGTCATCAAATACGATACCTCAGCAGTGCTTAGGGTGTGTTTTATTCCTTGATGTTTATGTACCGTCTGTAAATTCCACAACAAACATTGCACTTATCTTACGTGGTTTGAGGCAGAACACTCTAAGGCTAATATCTTAAAGACTTGCCAAAGAAAAACCACAAAAATCTTCATGGTTTAATACTGTTTTTTTACTGTGTGTTAATTTGTTTTGTTGTGGTTGTAGTTCTCCCTCTGCAATGCACTGTGGCTGCTCATTGCTATAAAACAACAAGAATAGATCAAGAGCATCCCATGGGGACTCTTCAACTACTTTATAAGTTACATATTTGCAGAAGGCGCGACGACTTTGTGAAGAATTAGGCGCTGAGAGTACAGACAGGTGATGTTTCTCTATAGGAATGCAGCTGCTCTTAGTGGTCATGCTGATTTCGAGTCTGTCTGTACAGGCTTCCTGTGGGGCATGACAAATCCTTTGATTTCTGGATTCAAGTGCATCCCAGAACTCCCTGCTCTGTCTTATTATAAACAATGTCATCAGCGGGATTGCATGTATTCGGGAGTTTCCTTTGAGAGCTCATAGAAGTGGCCCAGTGTAATCATGTGAGCAGAGCTACATTAGACAGTACAGTATTTCAGACCTGTAATTTGTTGCTGATGAAAAGCCGATAATTTTAAACCTCTAATACTTACTGGAACATGAAGCACAGACAGAGGGCCAAGAACTCTGCAGTATAAACAAAAGAGACAGTGTTCAGACATCACGGGATAACAAACATGGATCCACTTTGTTTAAGAAAACATCAGAACCATTTAATGGCATTGTGTTCATGTCAAACATAAAGGAATTGACAAATTGGTATTGTTTTCTGTTTTCTTTAAGTCAAATGCAAGAATATACAGTATATCATATAAGTAAACATGTCGGTGGATATTTACCATGTGTAAATTGTAAAAATATATAGATAAATAAACAGTATACATGACAGTTTCAGTAAATGGCAGATCACGCTATGACATGGTATTGGAGTGTCTTTCAGTTTTGCAGTTGGCTCGGTTGTCTCCATGTAGTTTTTTCATGGCACGTACCTTCTGAATCTTTGAAGAGTCTTAGATTCAGATTCAGACAACTTTATTTATCCCAGAAAGGCAAAGACATCATAAAGGAAACAAACACACCACAGCAGCATTTAGACAGTTATATTCACATGTCAGTAACAACAATTCAACAGACGAACAGGTCGTCAAATAAGAAGCCAGCGCTATCAAGCTAGAATTTCATGGTACAATGACAGGAATGTATCTAATGAATAGATACATAAATGAATGGACCTTACAGGTGACCTCCCTGTTCAGTTACAGTCCATACAGTAAGTCCACTTAAAACCCTAACAACAGGTAGACAGGTAGGCTGCTTAGAGATGGCAGAGTGAGTCGTGTTTGACTGCAGATTGAAATTTCCTCTTGATTGACAGTCAACTGGTACCTGACATGGACTTGGTGAAAACAAGAATGTGGAGGTTGCTGGAAGTCAAGCCTGTGCAGCTTTGCTGTAGCTTCTCTAGCCAGAATAAGCATTTTTTTGGCTTTTCCTTTCACCTTTTGGTTAAGTGCAGCATGAAGTGTGATGTTAAAGGACAACCATAATTGTTGCATTCACACTGTCAGTGATTTGTTTTTTTGTGCCAGCTGTCCCTTCTGCATTTGAAAGCTGTAGCTATGATTCTTTCAGTCTGAAGGAAGTTTTTAACTTCTTCTTATTTGTATTTTATAAGGCTATTTGTTCATATGGTCATATGCTGCAAACTGCAAACACACCTGTTGCCAGGTAAGATATGCTAGGCATGTTGAACCGGCCTGGAAGAACAAGTCCCTCATGTCTCTTACAACCAGAAACTGAAATACCAACATGTCTGCTGTGTTTGAGTGGGTCTGATTCCCTGAGCATGATCTACAGCGTTAAAGAGTCGTACTATATCATAAATACATTGAAATATTCCATGTAAATATTCCAGCTGTTTCATGATAAAATAAGAGAGGAGACATGGCTCATTTCAGTAACACTAACAAATAAAAGTCATCGTGAGGAATCTTCTTGGCTCGATGATTCAAGAGTTCCTGAATTAATGTTGCACGAAGTTACTGTTGGCAAGGACACGCGAAAAACAGCATAACAGCCCTCATAATGTATTTGAACGGCTGTTTTATTCCTTATTGGTGAATGCATTTAAATGTAAACAAAACAGTTGACCTGGTGGAAAGTAGTCTCTTTAGATGATCTTAACATAGGGATGATTACTGCTCAGTATATGCCAAGATACAAAGACTCTATTTATGCACCCTTTATATGAGTGTTCACTAGCTCACTTTGGATTTTTGCTCAGCATGCATTATCACACTTATATTAATAAACTGGTGAAAGCTTGTGCAGCGGGTTTTTAATGAAGTCACTATTCCTCGTCTTCCTTTTAATGCTTGAAAGGATGCCATTCCTCATTTACACATTCTGACTCACTGACTGCAATCTGAGTGAATCACTCAAAGACGCTTATCTTTGACACAGTCTCTTTAATTGTTCAACTGAGTTGTTTAATTATCCACCTACAGATATTTCAGAGTCCTGGTTTGATTTTTTTGCCCCCATGTGATAACGATTCTGACGTGAAGTCGAGCACCTCATTTTTTTTCTCGAGTTTTTCCGATGTGTCCGACACCACATGAAGGCAGAAATAAGTCTGATGATTCAGAGTTTGCTGTGACTTTACAAATGGTCAATGGTTGGGGCGTCTGGTGAACAGTGGATAAGCAGATAATAACCATCTGGGCTACGACTATTTCTTCCATCAGCGGGTCATTTAGTCTAACAAAAGCACAGAACTTCTACAACTGGATTTGTATCTGCAACCAGACACACAGATCCCTATTATAGACTGTGACAAAATAAGCAAGTCATCCTGATTTGATGGGATTGTGATCATAGGTCAAACTGTCTGATCTTGTTAATCATCACCACTGAATCCAACTTTTCATTAGTTTTGTTAGCGCAGATGCTAAAAGTTAATTACATCACTTAGAAACACAGACTTTATAATGACTTAATAACGTTTCTTTTTTTTGCCAGTTTTGTTGTTGCATGTTAAAGTCCAACTTTTTTTTGAAAACTTCCCAGATCCTGCAGTCCCTTGCTAGCAGTTACACGTCCACTCTGGAATGTTCATCCGCTTTTCTCACACTTCATCATGAGAAATGTCTTCCTCTTTCTGCTCTGTTTGCAACCAGCGCTTTGAGCACAACATGCTTCCAACTCCATCAGCTGTTAACCAGCAGGGAGAGCATGATTGTGTCCAGAACAGCTCTTTGTGAAGCAAAAGCTTTTTGAGAAAACATTGAGCAGTCCCAGGATGATCAGAGAAGACATTTCTCACACAGAGTGCATTTACTGTACATTGACTTGAGTATCCTGGTTTTGATTTGATTCTTTTAAAATGCCATGCATGTAAACATCAATTAGTCCTTATTCCCGATTTTGAGACACTTGGAGAACTCTGAAAGAATACAAGACACTGTGGCATGTTTTCACCTTACCCTGGTTTCCAACAGCCGCAGAGTACCTGCACAGGCACGGACTTAGTCAAGTAAAAAATCAGCAAAACAAACATGGTGGCGGCAATTCGAGTATCTTACTCCTGGAGTGATAAAGAAATTGAGATTTGTCTTTGGGTAATGAAAGAATTCGACACAATTGGAAGTAAAGATTGGGATAAGCGTCAAAATGCTGACCTTTTCATGTCTGTGGTGAACAGGCTACAGGACGCTCGTTTCCCAACATGTAGGATGGAGGAAGTCAGGTCAGGTGGGATAGTACTGAAGAAGCAGTACTTCGTGGCCGGACATCAGTAATGGAAGTGTGTTGTAAAAAATAAACATGAAAGGTGCCGACGCAAATAAGATGCAGTAATCAGAAACCGGGATACTAGTATCATGTACACATAGATACAAATAACCAGATTCGACTTAACGCCATATCTCTCCAATATGATCAGTTCCATGGAAATGCACTCACTGACTCAAACCCTGGGACAAACTTTGTGTCGAGGATGTTGAAAAAAAGTATTACTGTGTCTAAAGTTTATGCAAGAGCCTGCTATTTTCAGTGACATATTAAATGTGCTGAATGTGCAAAATATTACAAACACATTGTTGACACAGTTGTTCAATACAGTTCACTCTGTCATACATCTTTCACATCTGGAGTACCTATTTTCCATGACCCACTTGGAGACTCGTAACCGAACTATATGCGCATTAGATCATTGTTCTTTACTCTGTCCTAATTCAAAACAAATGCACCACGCTTATCCTTTCCTCATGTCTGACGGGTCACTGCATGCTCGTGTATGTTTTAATTTCGGGGTTCTGTAGCCCACAGCCTCTATGGTTACGGTCACCGTAATTACTGTCCCCTGAAGATTAACTGTAAATGTAATGATGATGACCTTTCCATGGAAACCATTCATGCTGATTGAGTGGCATATAATCTACTTTAGTCTTTCCATCCATGCACTCTTCTGCACTCAACTCTTGGCTTTGCCAGCACAGAATTAAACATGAACATTTGTCTTTTTGATGAACACTGTATCTGCAGGAGCTACTGCACAAATAACAAGATTCTCATTGAGCAGGAATCTCTTAAGGTGTGCTGTCCTTTACAAACTGGACTAATGTGTCCAGTTTAATTTAGTCTTCTGTCAAAGGTACAGGTGTACAGAGTAGGGCTGCACTATTTTACTCATTAACTCGTAGTTATAGTTCAGGTCATGAGTAAATGCATACTAAAAACTAAAATATTCAATGCTAAAAACAGTATGGATTGTACAGTATCCACCTGCAAGACTAAGCATTTCCTTTTTAAAATTTAAACTCAGTGAAATCATCCCCACCCTGTCTCTGTCTACTGCACCCTTGCTAGCTAGCACCAATTTGAAATAAGCATATCATACTGTTAGCTGTCCAGCTAGCTTTTCCTGAACAGTTCTTGGGAGATCTCCGGTAACCTAAACTTGAGCTCCTCTCATCAACGTTGGTCAATTATTTATGTGCAGCCCTAGTACAGTGTCTCCTTCTTGTCCTCCACAGATTGTTTTTATAGTGAAAAAGAGGCTAATGGATGGACAAGGTGTTCCTGTTGTAATTCAGGCTTGTATTAAGCTCACAGAAACTCAGGAGACACCTGAGAGTTACAGAGTGCGATAGATCTTTCTGTAAATCGTGGTCCTACATAATGAGACGCTGATGATTCCAACAGGCCCACCATACATCGCTCTGACTGAACTACAGGCCTGAGACAACAGAGAAACCTCCAGTGAGTCAAAAGCTGTAAGCCCCGTTTCCACCAAGGCGTCCGGTTCAGTTCGGTCTTCAAAAGTTAGAAAGAGTACCAAAATAAGGGATCTGTACCGTCCTACTTTTTTGGTACCCTTCTGTTGGGGTGCCAAGGTTACCGATCTGACCCTAAAGAGTCCCTTTTGTTTACTGTACTGTCTTACAGTTCTTCGTTGAACTTAATTAATAGCGGTCTACACTGTGTTGGGCTGCTATGATGTCACACTATTAGATAGCTGTTAGATAGCTATCTCCATCTGGCTCACACTCTGTTTAACAATTAAGGGTACGGATGGCTGTGGAAACTATACAAGACCAGGCTTAACCGTACTGAACTGAACCAAACCGGACCGCTTGGTGGAAACAGGGCTATATTGTCCTAAGTGGACGGCAACAGTAGAAACATTCAAGGTCACATAAATATTTCTATTTTTCTACCACCGTCTACTTTTTCCGCAGACAGTTATTAGTTGGTGTCCAACATTATTTTCTTTATTAAGTGATGGAATAAGTGCAGTCATACTTTGCCGGTATTTCATTTCTAAAATGTGTTGAAACAGCAACAATAGTCACGACACATTCCTCTCCCATTAAAACTCTGTGGTTTGTCAGCACTTGAAGCACGGAAAAGAAGTATTAGGAAAGTTGGCCTAATGTCTACATGATCTCATTACCACAAATGATGTTATTACAACATCACATGATGTCATATCACTCGGAGATATTCCTGGAATGCAGCTTTTATTCAAGAGTCAAGCGCAGTGCATTTTGCCTCAAGAAACCCCTGCAACAGATCTGTCGGGGTTCGGCTCTCGCAGCATGCTGTATGTCTGTGAGATGCCTGCTGGTTTCAATCAGGACCTTCCAAAAATAAAGAAACAAAATTCCTAACTGTCCTGTCATTAATCCCACATGAGTTACTGTCCTGTGAATGTCTTTGGTTCGAACAGCTTTGTCACAAAGATCCACACATTTTAACAAGGGTGGAATTTATTAGAGATCATAGTTAAGTTTTGGGTTTTCCACTGAAATCTTGCAAAACAATCAGGTCACACATGATCCACTGCTGTTTTGCATGCAGGAAAAACATGTTGTTTTGATGGAAACCCAAATCCTATTTTACATCAGATTTATTTTTTTAAGGTTTATTTTGGGTCAGAGTCAGAAATCAGGGAGAGAGAGAGTGGGGAATGAGATGAAGGAAAGTCGGACTGGAACCCATGCCATCCGCCCGGAGGACTGCAGCCTCCGCACATGGGGCATGCGCCCCAACCACTCTGCCACCGGTGTCCCTATTAAGAGTAGAGAGAGTCATGAAAGATTTACAAATGTATCTGTAGTGTCCTCTCTTTACTCACGAAACAAGACTTTACATCCTAAATTGTAAAAGTCTAAGGTCTGATCCCAATTCCAATACCTTGCAAACTTGATTTTTTCTTCTTAAGGAGTTTTTTAGGAGTTCATTAGGAGCGCTAGGAGACAAATAGCCCAAAATATTCAAAGGCAGGCGTCAGTTGGGTGAAGGGACGAGTGGTAGAGGATGCAGGGATACAAGGATTTTGCAGATGCATCAAAAGATTAAATGAGAGACATGAGTCAAAGACCTCTGCACGACTTCTGGCTTCTTCTTTCACATATGTGTATAATGAACCTAACCCAGAAAATTAAGGGATCAAGGGATCTTTGAATCATTAAGACTTGAAAGGTTTTTGGACATTCAGCATTTAATATTTGATCAGGCAGGATTTTTAGAGATCATTGTGGGCATCTTTTATGAGTTAAAACTGTATTTTTTTTAAAGCTGTTATGACAAAGAAGGAAAATAACTATAAAGAAAAACATCCATAAAAGAACAACCAGTCATTGGAGGCTCCTGTTTAGTTGTTTAAGCTAACAGACTGAATTAAATAATGAGACTTCTGTATGAGCGAAGAGAGCAAAAGAGATTTTCAGGAATATTGTTATTTGCAGTTATAGAAGGATTATTTTATGGAAACAGGCTCCTGGGGGCTTTTCTGCATTTTTATAGAAACATAAATACATGGTCTTTAAACAATCTTCCAAATGTGCTTAGCTTTTAAAAAAAGATTCAGATGAATAATTGTCTAATGAGAGCTGGATCTGTCTGAGTTTTGTCTTTTTGCCTCTATCTGCTGTGTTGTGCCTGTTTTAAACTCTACCTGCTGTGATGTCTTGGCCAATCCTCCTTTGGAAAATCTCAAGGGTCTTTCTAGTGAAACAAAGGTTAAAAAACAGCATGTTGTCCCTGAAGAGAGGCTTAATTAAAGCCTGCTTCCATTGCAGAGGAGTCCCACGTTGCCTCACTTTATTGGCCCTTTGTCTTCTTTTCTGTTCCCTTTTTTTTTAAAAACAATGTGAATGTTCCTTAACTTACACGGTCATTCTCTACCAAAGATGTCTAGCACTTTAATAAAAATGCTCATTAAATAATATAACAAGCCTATAAAAAAAACAATTTTCAGCAGGATGTTTTGTTTCCTCTCAGTTGCATGCTTCCAAAGTCTGGTGGGGGGCCATCCGCCATGTAATGCTGGCCTGTTAAAAATGAGCTGTTTATATTTGTGTTTATGTTCTTTTTAAAGAGCGATCAGGAGGCTAAAGGTCCTTCAGTTCTGTAATCAGTAAGACGTAGGAGGTCGACTGTATGAATGGAGCTCTATTTGGCATCTGGTTGCCAGACTGAGCTGCGTTCATGTACCTGTGGATGTGGGAACGTGCAAAGCTCAGGTCTCGCAGCAGGTTCTGACACAGCTTCCCATTGTTAATGGATTTATTTTTGTAACACAACAAGCATGCAGTCTTGTTAGGATGATATTTTCTAATTAAGGTTTGAAAAAAAAGTGTGTTCAGAATCAGCACAGACCTGGTGATATGACCACTAACAGCTGATCTGAGTCTTTGAATAGCAGGATTTGTATTCTTAATGTAATGACTGATTGTTGCTCCCTTTGTCCCAACAACACGTGCTCCACAAAATCAATCACGTTGTTTCCTTCACAGTTTTCAGGTATTGAGGAAATCTGGATATTCTTTCTCAGCCTTCAAGATCCTCTCACCTTTCTCCCAGTGGCTTCTGCTTTTGAATCGTGTGGATCAACACTTTTGTAATATCCATTTCATGGTCTTCATTGTCTGAGATCCTCCACTCCACTGCATCAACTCTTTATTTCATGTCTCCAGAATCTTCCTGTAGATCTGTCAACAATGCAGTATTTCCCGACCTATCCTCAGTACCCTCTTCCATGCCGTCTTCCACTTAATTGTTTTCAGCTTTGTTTGTGGGTACTCAGGTGCGCCTGCTTGGTGTTGACATTTAATTATTTTTCTCTCAGGTCCACAGCTGTCCATGGGAAAGCAAGAGGCCTTTGAGACCTTCATCAGGGACCATGAGGACCATCTAACCATTGAGGACAACAAGAATCACCTCAAACAGAGGTTAGTGATCAGCTGGACAAGTAAATACATTTTAGTGTCACTTCTATTTTTCTACCTTAAAAAAAGTAAAACACATTTTCTGTATATTCTGTCAACCCAGATGCCCTTTCATTCTACGAGGCTTTCATTCATATCGACTGTTTAAGTATACAGATAGTATATAGATGTGCTGTAAATAGGTATCATGGCATGATTTCTGTTGTATGGGTTAGGGTTTTAAACCCCAGAGACAGCTGCTGGTGACCCTATGTGTAACCAGCAGTACATTTTGACTCGTGATTTTACTCCAAATAATGATCTTTCTCCCAACTCAAATGTTTGCCGATGGTTATGTTATGTGTAAAAATGACCTGGACAGGATGAGACTTGGTTGGTATTTTGGTGAGAGCTGTCAAAAAAGTGCTGATAGTTTGCCATCACAAAGAACCTAGATTAGGCCTTTTTTTCTTCCTTTTTTGGACTATCAGCGCCTGCAAAGACTGCAGGTTAAAATAATGGTATTTGTTTTGTCTACAATCTGAACTCTTTGCAAATATTACCAACCTCTTAATGCATTCTTTAAGAAATGGAGGCAGTGGAGATATGGTATGATGTATGTTTTACGTCATTTTGAATTCTATTATTTTACTGCTTCCTTTTGACAAATTTATTTAAAAAATAATAATAATATTTTTTGCTTATTAACACCTGCATCCTTCTGAACAGGTCAGCTGAGGCCAGAAAACTCGGGGAGCAACTGAATGAAACCAGAAACAGCATCAGTAAGTTATCTGTGTGGTGGAATTTCTGTAGTTATTTAGATAATAATGTACAGATGTCATTAGGGTTATTCACTGTTCTCTGATGTCAGTCAGACCTGACAGAGTTCAGCTGTTATTAGAACACCAAGTACAGCTTAGAGAGTGTCAACTGTTCTTCCTGATATCGGCAAGGATGTTTGGTAGACTTGTTGTCTGCTCCAGTGTTATAGACATCGCAGTTTAGTCTAGGTGGGTCAATGTGACCCTGATAATGATAATGTCTTTTAGGATATATGCGATGCCTTTCGAGAAGTTCGGCAGATGTGATTGAGCAAGACACGAGTACAGAAGTGTGATGTTGAATCATCATCTCCTCATGAGTATTCATCTGATGAATAAACTTTCATCAACGTAAGCCATCTGAGTCAACTGAGTCTTATTATATGGAGTCAAGTCTTAGTAATTTCTTCAACAATTTGGTGTCACAAAACAGGATATCTACAAACAAAAACTGGTAAGTGCAAATAATTTTTATTCTTTGCTACTGCCATGTCTGAGTTTGACGATATCTAAAGAAACTGTAATTCGGATGAAATTATAAGCTGTAAACTGTAAACTGTTGTAAGCTTGACAACATGCTGATGAATAATATTTACATATAATAGAAATTGAATAAATTGTTAATGATTGAGAATCATTGATTGCTTGTATTTGCAAATTAGTGAGAGTTGGGCTGCAATCTGAACCGCTTTAGAAATCACTATACATTTAAGAGCTGTGAAAACTTAAAATTCTGCATTTGGCAAACAAAGGCTGATCATTTCTGTTAATGTTGGGTTGGGAAGAAGACAGCAGCCTACCTGCCTGGAAAATGTTAATGAACACATCACTGTCGGGGTTCAGCTTCCCTGTAGTGCAGAAATGTCGTTCAGCACATTCCTGAACTTTTCCAGGACGCAGACGCGTTCTGATTTCCACCCAGCGAGGCTTCCAACCTGTGCTTTTACTAGCCTGGCTCAGCCTGTTTTATGATGACTCTGTAAGCACACCCATGTGTTCTTCTGGGCAATGTCCTTGACAGGTAGTCTAACTTTGCCAAAATGAGACCTGGACTAAGCCCAGTGTCAGTCAATGCTGAGCAATTACGAAGATTACCTGCAAGAAATCCACTGACGTCTCTGTTGTGAAACAAAGAGACGGGTGTGCGTCTGTGTGTCTTTAGACTTCATCAAAGTCCATCTGCACAGGCAGAAAATGCTTTAGCTAAAGTCATTTTACCTCAGTGAAGGTAGAAGGAATGGTTCTTTTAGTAACAATACAGTGTTGTTGGGAGGAGGGTAAATTAAAAAAGTCATGTGATGATAGTACTCACTGGCTGCGGCTCAGTTGGTAGAGTCGTCGTCTTTCAGGGTTCAATCCCCAGCTCCTGCAGCAACATGTCTGATGTGTCCTTGGGCAAGACACTTTGCTCCCGCTGCTTCGTCGGCGGCATATGAATGCGTATGAATATGAAAGGCGTTAGTTACTTCTGATGGTCACTCTACATAGCAACCACTACCATCAGTGTGTGAATGTTGGGTGTGACGTGGTGGAAAAAGCGCTTTGAGTAGTCAGAAGACTAGAAAGAGCACTTTATAAGCTCAAGTCCATTTACCATTTACCATAGTAGTTTTGTATAATGACTATTACACCAGCTTTGAGATTTGAAGCTTGTCAGTAAAGTCACCATCTCTTTTTTAGTGTGTGGCATTTTGCCTTTATTTGACAGTGAGAACTGTCAACAGAGAACGGGGGTGGCATGCACCAAATTGTCCTGGCTGGGAGTCAAACCAGCATTCAATACATCAAGGACTGTAGCCTCTTCTAGATGGGGCAAGCTGCTCTACCAACTGAGCTAAATCAGCGTCTCAGTCACCATCATTTCCAGAATGAGTTGGGACAATGGTGACTGGTGCCAATTGTCCATTAATTAAAGCCATTGTATTTGCACTAATTCTTGGTTTTATAAACTGGCTGGTAAATTGATACATCCAGAAAAGACTACGAGTGGCATCGATCACCCAGCAGAAGTTTCTCTGAAGAAAACAGAAACTCAAAGCGGTGTTCTGTTTTTTCCTTTTCTGATGAGCTGTTAGGAAATGGTCGCCATGGCTGTCAGTGTTCTTCTCTACATAGTGGGGAAATGTCAATGAGTTTGTTGCTGCCTTTTCATTAACTTTATTCTGTGAGCCTTTTGGACTTCAAACTTCTAACCAGTCCAATCCAATTATCCATTGTGATTGGCTGTTTGTTTTTTTCATACTCAAAAAAATTATATTTTTCTCTTAATCTGGTTTTGATTCTGTAACAGATGTGATTCGAAGTGAAGTCAAGTCTTATTAAAATCTAGCTTAACTGCTTTAAATGTTTTAAATATTCAAAAGAATATATCTACAAACAACAGTCTGTAATGATAATAATCATTGGTTTATTGGTTATTTGTCAATGTCAGATCAAATCAAATATATGATAAGATACATGTCTTATCATCGTTTAAAATGAGTCCATGTTTATTGTAGGTCATAATACAAGGAACTGTTTTCATTTGTGTTAAATAATAAGAAAGCTTAAGAAGGCTGCCTGTCAACATTGGGAATAAGTTTAAATGATTTCTCTCGTGTTGAATTTCCAGTAAACTCAAAGCAGTTACAAATGTGTTTTTAGAGCCTGATCTGGTTTGCATTTACCATTGCAGGCTACATTTATGAATTTCCCTCCACTGTGTGTGTTTGTGGCTTATTCCACATGCCAGTGAAATGGATAGGTTTTCCTCACACCAGCGCCTGGCATCACGGCTGCCTCTGATCACGCTTGGTGGTTTGGTAGCATTCAGCTGTTACCCTCGCTCATGCCAGCGTACACTTATCATCTTTGGATATATATATATATATTTTGCAGCAGCAATCAGTTAGTAAGGGTGCTGACTCAGACCACACAGAAATCAAAAACCTTGAAAAGCTGGATTCTTACATTAATGTAGGTTTTGAATTCTTCATCCTACTCCTATTTGGAAGTATATCCAAAAAACCATCTTGCTGTCAGATATTATTTCCTTGTTAGATGCATGGAGCTGCATTCTTCTGAGATGAGGCCGAGTGTTTTTAGTGGAATGTGGTTGCCTCTTCTGGATGGAAAGTAGCACCATAACATTAAACTGTGTGTTTCCTTGCCATCTTGGAAGCTGTGCTTGGAAATTTTACACTACCTGTGTCTCGTGGTTTTATGCAGAACATGGAAACATTTAGCATAATATAAACAAAAGCTCGGTGCTGCTTTTCCTGATGGATGCACCCAGTACTAAGGGTCAGTGAGCGGGGGAGAAAGGGAGAGGTAGTAGCCTGTGGAGACATTAGTTGCTAAACATTCCCTGGGTTCGGGTATTGTTCTTGGCCACCGCATGCTGCTATGGAATCCAAACCCACTGGAGGACCACACGTTCCAAGCCCTTAGGTGCAAAAAGTGCAAAGATATACTGTATATTTATTCAGAGGGATCAGCAATGCACATCTTCTACACAGCATGAAAGGTGTACGGCAGCTGGAGAGGAGCAGCATCTCTTGATTTCTCCGCCAGATGTTTGGGATTTATGCAGCATAGTGCTTGATGGTGTGGTTCTGGTATCCCACTTTCATTTTCTGCTCACCTTTGCTGATGTGACCCAATGACTTGTGTGTTTGTGGCATGGATGTATGATGGAAATCAAGAACTTTATCGAGTAAAATTTTGTAGTCCACACCAACCGAGTAGTGATGCTGCCTACACCTAAATGTTTCCATCCCCGGAAGTAGGACTGTGCCATTAATCACATATCATCGTTTGCGCGATATGAGCATTCATAATCAACACTTTACATAATTTATCCCATGCAATAAGAAAATATTATTCCATGTGACAAAGCGTTACCAGTTGGTTGGTGGCCTGGGTATGTCCATGCTTTAACATCATTTTGATACAGTCAATGAAGTTAAGCTAGCTCTCAGCTACCCTTCAGATTAATTGGTGCAAATTCAGTGGTGAAAAAAAGGATTGGATGGATTGAATTTGGATTTGGGAGAAACATATTGCAAACCGGTATTGTGTACAACATGATGATCCCCAGATTTTTCTCATTGTTCAGCTACTTGAAAGGAGTAGTTATCCCTGCCTTACGTAAAAAAGGATGCACAACCTTATGTCTGTGTAAGTTTGTTGTTTACCTGGTTAAAACTGTGGTAGGATTCAGATGGTTACTGGTCACCCTTAATCACATTTATTCTCCTCATGTCAAGCAAGCAAATATCTGAAAGCAACCAGTTAATCTTTCATGTTGTCTGGGGACACATTCATTATCTATCCCTGACCTTGGTCTCCCAAGAGAATGGCCAAGTGAAGTTCAGCACTTTAAGGACAGCTGTGGGAGTCTAAGCAGTCCACTCGACAGGACATGAACTGATCTATTGCTCTGAGAGAGAGATGGGAAGTGACCTTTTTTCTGTTATGAAGAAACGGTCCTGAAGAACTCCTATATCCTACTTCTTCAAAACCCTTGAACATTTAGGCAAAACCTCAAAGGTAGGACAAACTCTTCGGATGGTAAGGAAAGTTAATTTGAGTCTACATCCATGCCAACAAACTTGTTCCAAAGCAGTAGTAATGAAATATCGCTGAAGGAAATTAAAATATGGGTTTGATGAGTTGCTCCTTGTTGCATTTCTGATGTTATCAGCTGCTCAATAGAAAGGTGTATGATCACAGCTGTCCAGTAAACACAGAATACTTTTCATCTCTCATGTTGATTTTTTTAAAGATTATTTTAGGCCTTTTTGTCTTTGCTCGATGTGATTGTTTCAGAGAGAATGAAAACATGGGGAGCTGAATAGGAACTGACATGTTGTGGTGAGTCATGCCAGTGACCAGTGCATCCAGGACTGTGGCTGCTGTATTTGGGGTGCATGCCTTCTCAACCGATTGAGCTAAACCAGCGGACCATGTTGACTGTTTTTGGGTCAAATTGCACTGGTCAAAGATTTTCAAATTGCCCTGTATGCATCCTTGACAGTAAATTCATCCTTCAAGTACATTTTAATCTGCACCCACCTCGATATTGAGAAGCAGGAAAAGTTTGCAAACTCCTTGGATCTTGAGCTCACTGTGGTATTTGTGCGGCATATCACATTTAACCTCCGACCCACAAAAATCACCAAATATTTATTGAGGCTTGTAGCTTGAAACCGGTCTTTTAAGACGACGGCATGTCTCCCGACGGTGTGGGGGGAAACCCTGCACGGTTTGGAAGAGGCTGTGGTGTCGAGGCCACAGTCTTGTCCTGGAAGGCGTGTGGGAGAAGTCAACGTTAAGCACACCACTGATACCTGACACGTCTGAAAATTAATCTTTCAGGAATTGTACTCGTCATTGAGAGTCAGAAATACTGTTGAAGTTGCTGTCAGTTTTTCTGCTTCAATGATTTGTCCTGACAAAATAATCTTTGGTGTTTGACTTTTCAGTCATCGCAGAGATAAATATATTTTAAGTAGTGTTACCGAAAGCAACCAAGTTTATTCATTGATATTTTTTACATTTCTTTTCTTTGGGTAGCAAAATTAAAATAAAGCAAATTCTACAAATAAACATGAAATAATAAATAGATAAAAAAGTGTTGCGGAAGTTTACCGAATACTTTCCACTTTTCAGAAAATGTGTGCTCAAACAGGCCATTTGGAGATATTATCTTCATGACATCACAAAGGGAAATAACCCCTCCCCCAGGTGGGTGACACTCCCACAGCTAGGCGTTTTTTTGCATTCCCCTGGGGGTCCACCTTTCCACAACGTAAACAATAGGGCATGGTGCAAGAAAGAGAGGGGCGTGGTCAAACATAACTCATTTGCATTTAAAGCTACAGACACAGAAACAGCCTGTTCTGAGCAGGGCTGAAATAGAGGGGTTTATAGGCATGATCAAATGCACAGATGCGTTTTTAGGAACCTCTAAGACTTATTTAAAGTTGTTGGAAAAGGAGGATAATTTGTGACCTTTAAGATTTATGGAGCAGGAGTTAGTGCTTATAAGCCTCTGTATTGTAATCTATTCAGGAGTGCTTCCCCTGATCAGATTTATGCACCTGCATCATGCATCATGTGTATTGGGCCCAGGGTCTTAAAAAAAGCTTCATTACATGCCATGACGAAAGCTACACAGGCTGTTTTGGCCCCTTGTGAGCTTTATGTTGCTGCTTCGTGCTCTCTGCACTCTTACTGTCAACATAGCATAAATTATTCCTCATCCTTTTATATTATTGTGGAAAAGCGGACTACACATAAATTAAGTGTGGGTCGTGTTTGGGATCGGCGTGTCTGTCAGAAGACTCGGGGCTGCCCGCCTGACCACAATGTAAAGCCACAGGGCACATCAGTTCATTTACAATCTCGGCTACACAAACCACTGACGTTTGAAAACACATGTTTTGTGAGGGGTTCCCAAACTCTGGCTCATACTCCACAGACATTTAGGAAACAACTGTGTCATCATAGGCAGAATGTGTCCCTGTTAGTCATTTGTAAGATGCACATCATCCATTTACAGGTCCGTCGTCTCCTCACGCTCTACTTTTAAAGGGAGCTCTGTCTGAATGTTAAATGGGCACTTTGAGAACATTGACCAGTGGACATCTGAGAAAAGTTTCTGAACTTTACCAGAAATCTTTGATAATGGTGTCACACTTTGATAATCAACTTTCCTTCAGGTCCTGTCAGCCGGACAGAGGAATGTCTTCATCATCTACAAAAATAGAGTCCTATTTCAACTGTCTTATTATGAGAGGCTGCATGAATAGGTAGCTTCCCAATTTCTTTTCCCCAGAACTATATACTTCATCTGGATTTCTCATTTTTGGACCTGGGCTTTTTAGATTGGCGACAGGCTCATATTACAGAGAGAGCTGCAGCACAGCACCGTCTACATGTTCATAAGACCTGAGGGAGCGTAATGGAAACTGACCACAGCAGATACTGACTGCCATTCAATGTCTCTCTCAGCTCTTAGTGTACCTTGTTATTATTCTGGTCATTCCTTTGACTCACTTTGTGGGTCTATACTTACATATTATCCCCTCAATAATAAGTTTATCAGTGCTCAGACTCTAAAGGATTTTGGCTCAAATGTTAAATAATTTTGAGTGAAGACAATTCAGAGAGATGCTGCTGTGCTTACTGTACACATCCCATATGGTTTCTGATTAATCCAAAACTACTTGTTTACTATGAGGATTTCAGGTGGTTTGAGGCTTGACCTAGAGAAACGTAATGCAATGTGCCGCTCTGTAGACCACTACCACAGGAGAGGGGAATGAGTTGGCACTACAGTCTGCAAGATGCCCTTTCTTGTTAGCCTCTACTGGCTGCTTTTATTTCAGGTGTCGTTTCTTGGCTAGCCAGGATTGAGACAGACAATACATGCCGGTGCATCACAGCCATTTGCTGGGTGATATTGAGGAGTTTTTAAAGATTTATTTTGGGGCATTGTCATGACTTTATTGTAAATACATTGGATAGTCAGCAAGGAGAGAGAGAGAGGAAGAAGCCAAAGGTCAAATTTGAACTTGTGCCGCCCGCTTCAAGGACTACAGCCTCTGTACATGGGGTGTACAAACTATAAGCGATATAACTGAATAGTCAAAGGGCATGAAAGGATGGTTGTAGATAGGTCGGTCGCTAGGTAAGGAGAATCAAGAGCTATAAAACATGTCAATAATGTCAGAGGTTGTAATTACCCTGCATGTAACAGGGCAGATCATTTTGACAGGATGAGCTGTGGTGAAGGATTCTTATCTGTACCTGAAGATGCATGTACATGTAAACTAAAAAACATTGACCTACTTTTTTATTGTGCAAAATGGAGAAAGTATTAAAATATCATTTTTCTTCTCTTTCTCTTTTTTTTTGTTTTAAAGATGAGTTGAAGAAGCAGTTAGAGAAGCAGAGGAGGCAGAGGGCGGCCCACGGTAAGATCAAACTGACGATGGATGTTCCCACAGCAGAACTTGAACCATGTGTGATCGACCCACACCAACAGCGAAACAATGCATGGAGCAATCACATGCACGCTCGGTCAAATCTCCACAAATTGCACCTTCTTTCTAGTCTCTCAGGTTTCAAATTCAAATTCAAACAGTGGTCTTCTAAAGCATCAACTGAGAGGTTGAACAAAGCTGTCACAAACAACAACATCTTTTGATATGGGACTCCTTTCAGAACGGGGGCGGTAAACATTGTGAACACATTGTGGGTGCTCTTGTACTGAACATGCTGCTGTGCCCACTTCAAAGCCTCACTCACAGTAGGCCTCACTCAATGAGAGCTTTAGTGACCAAAGCCTGGGCGTACAACCATAAGACTCCCTCATTTACTCATTTCTGCCTGTTTTGATCAGCGACATCAATGCTTTGATGAGAAAATATGGTAGTAAAAAAAAACACACAAACATCTCTCTCTGTTCTGCATCAGAGCATCTCACAGCGGCCTGCTTTCTGTTGCCTATGGTCCATGTTTAAAATACTGAAAACCTGTACTCACCATGCGTATGAGTGGCATAAAAAAATATATTTGGGGGGGGGGGGCACCGGTAGCCTGTGGCTCCTTTCCTGCATGTCATTCTCCACTCTCTCTCTCTCCCAATTTCTTACCCCTCTCTCTTTAAAAACCAAAGCATAGCCCCCAAATAAACCATTAAAAGTATACTTTTAAAATAAATGTGCTGAAAAAAAGAGTCCATTTAAAAATCCTCAAATGTGAAAAGACAGAATCAAGAAATAAAAAGGCGAATAACAAAAACTTACGCGCCTCAGTGTTGTTCATACTTTTTCATTTTCTGTTCATATTTTTCTAAATATTATTTGAATTGAATCGTTTTACTTTCTGCACATACAATAACCTTTTTTTTTGTCTGTGTACCTATGACTTTTTCATTCCCTTCTCTCATTGGCTCTCTCCCATCCTTAAACACCAAAGCTGTCAATCAACTGGCTGATATATTTACACTATTTACATTTTATAAAGTATTTATTTATGCATTCCTTTCACCTTTTTACACATATTGATAACATCTCTGCCATCTCTTTTGCCTGGCCAACTCTACCACAGGTGTTATGGGCACTCACGCAGAGGCAGAGGAGGAGGTCGACCCAGTGGAGGACAACTTGCTCAGACATATTGAGCAAGAAAAGAAGGCGTGAGTGTAGTAAAAACTGTTTTTTTGTTTAAATGTATAACCATACCAACATTTTTCATAGTTTCTCTGAAGACGCTGCTTTAATTGATTAGACACAGCAGATGCTCTGAAACATGCACGAAAGATTCATTTGGTGCCGCTAATATCTCGTGTCAGTTACAAGAGCATCGTCGGCCGTCTGAAAGCGCTGAGGACAGAGATCGAGCACCTGCAGCTGCTGCTGGAGAGGGCAAAGGTCAAGCTGCAGAAGGACTTCCATAAGTGGTGGAGCCTGGAGGCCTGCAGTGTGCAGGTGACTCTCTTAATCTTCTCCACCTATCTGTATGACAACACCACATAAAGCTTCTGTTAGCATAACATAACGGCAAAGCTAGCGTGTCAAAGATATGTTCATGACATGTGAGTGTCTGTTGGTTTTTGTCTCTATATTTATGGATGTGGTCTTTCGTGTGGTTTCTGAATATTGGCCTCTACGGACACATTAGTGTGTGTGTAAGTTGATATGCATGTGTCTCTGACTCCGGAGGCTTTTACGGCACCAGTGTGACCCTTGCAGCCTCTGCTTTGCCTCATGCTGAACGGGTCCTGGTGGGAAGATACGTAGGAGGCAAATACACGGAAACACATTTTAACAGAAATCCATGTGAACAAAACAAAGAGCCAGGATGCAAGACAGTAACAGCATCTACTAATAATGGCAGCAGTTTGAGTCTTCAGAATTCAATTTTTCTTGATAAATCTGGATTTCATGTTTTGAGGAATAAACGACTTACATGAAAGAAAAGAAAGAAAGAAAAGTTTCTCAGCTAAATCAGATGTAACATAATGCACTCGATCAAAGACTATCCACCTAAAGGGCTGTCAGGCTCAGATTGTTTTTCAAACTATTTGACAAGGTAACAGAACGATCCCTACAGAGAGACCTTTTTCTGACAATTTAAGGTATTTTTTTGGTCTTTTCATGTCTTTATTGAGGGGACAGTATCATTTTCATTTCATTTCAAACCTTTATTTATTCTCAAAAAGACACTGAGGTTTCCCTCATATCCAATGCCGTCGAGATTACAAGCACAGTAAAACAAGCAAGAAAACTTAAAACACGCAGAATCTGTGACAAAAACCACTGAGATCATTTAAAACAGTTCCAATCTGAAACAACGTTTCAGGTTAATTCAGAACCCACACACAATTTGAAAATAAAGTTTCAAATTGGATGGTGGCTAGAGTCAGAAACAAGGATGAGAGAGTGCGGGCTGACATGCAGGAAATGGCAGAGGGTGGGAGTGGAACTTAGGCCACAGCTTTGAGGGCTTCAGCCTCTGTACATGGGACCCAAAATGTAACCACCGAGCTAAACCTATGCAGGTTTTTAAACTGAAGAGTCACATCACTTTCTTCAAAGCCACCAGACTTCATTTATAGAAAGAGTGATTTGACCTGCCTTGGCTGGTGTTTTTACTTTGTGTGGGTTATTGTGTTACACAAATATTGTGTGGGTTCTGAATTAACCTTTAAAAACAATGTCACAGAAATACCACCAAGAAACAAACATATTGAGGCAACGGTAGACCAGCAACTCCCACATCCTACCAGGTCAAACTGGTGTCAAAGGACTCTGGAGGCTTTGGAGCTGGTTCAGGTTTAAGAAAACAAACTTCACCTAAAGAAAGATATATTTCTCTAATTATAATCTCACACTTAGTAACAATCTGAGCTTTTTGGGGAGACAAAACAAGCATTTTGTTTGCAGATATAATTAAACTGGAACATTTAACAGTTAAAGAAAACTAATGGTAAGACTTGAACATGTAAAAAATGTAATAGGGTCAAATATAAAAATATTAGACCGTGGAGTTTCAGGAATGAGTCGTCTAATCTCTGTCCATTATAATAATAATTTTGTGTTTTGGCTTTAACTCTCGTACACTATAGTGAAAGACAATTCTTGCGAAGGCATGCACATAAAGATGAGTTGAGTATTGACAGATTGACTAATGCCGATTTCCAGAGAACTCAGTCTCTGGTGTCACACACTTTGCTCGTGGTGGCTGTTGAGCACATTCGAGAAACCGACCACAAAGAAGATGTTAAGCAGAACATCTGAGCTGCAGACTCGGCTGGCTTCCACTCAGCCGTTTTGATCTCTCCAATGGAGAACAATATCTTGCTCACATCTGAGCATGCTTTGGGATTTTATCACTGAATGACAAATGGAAAGGCGAGGAAGTCAGGCAGACAGGCCTTACATGTGCAGTTTGCTCGTCCAAGCAGGAAACAGGACGTCTCTCATGCCAGCACACTTACATCTAACAGATTTATTCAATTGTTTATTGTCCTGTTTTTTAAGAAACCAGAACATATTGATTAATTAAAGCGAGAGGACACAAATTATGTTGAGTTCTCTGTTCTTTAGCTGTTTGTTACATGTGGACACGTCGTGTTGAACATGGTGTTGTAAGCATCATCTTTACGATATGACCAGGTGACTGACTCAGAGGCCCCAGACAGAAGCCCCTCTGCGTCACTGAGTGGAACCTTGCTGCCGTCTTCGCCTCGCACTCCAGGATTATGGTGAGAACCTTTTTGTGTGTTATGTAAAAGTTGACTTGACTGCTCATTGCTCCTCTCCAGCAGATGTGTCTGCACCACTGTTAACAGGCAGGAGGATTACTTTTGAATGTAGTCTGTCATCAAGCATTTATTTCCCTTCTCTGTTAATGGAGCTATATTTAACCTGTTCTTAATGTGTATCAAGTGTGTTTAAAGCTCATTTTAATATATTTTATTTTAAATGTTTGTCCAGAATGTTGTAGACATAGGCCATCTTCTCTACTAAGACTACATCAGAATATCTGCAGGTCCTGAAGAGTCTTTAGAAGCACTGATATCAGTCCCCTCAATCAATTACTTGAAATATATTTAAGCCTACTACGGCCGTTTTTTAAGTCAGGAATATTATCTTTGGATTGTTGAAAGGTGTCTGTTTTGGTCTGTTTTTGGGGCGCCTGATGGCCTAGCGCTGATGCCGCACACCCCATGTACGGAGTCTTTTGTCCTAATCGCGGCGACCCTGTGTTCAAATCTGAACTCGGACCTTTGCTGCAAGTCTCCCCCCTCCCCACTCTCCTCCCAATCTTTCCTGTCTATCTTTGGCTGTCTCTTTTTATAAAGACGAAACAAAATAAAATAAAAATGATTCTGGCTAAAGCAGCAATGAGGCTAACTGTCTCTTAGAGGTCAAATGTGAAGTTTGATATCAGTACTTAATGGATGAATCATTTTTTATTTAATTTTTCTTCTATTTATCAGGGTTCATGTTTAGTTTTTGGATGAATAATATCATCAGGAGTTATTGTCAGCACTGCTGAGACATAGTAAATACATATGAAATGATATAAAATTATTTTAGTAAAATCTCCCCCATACTGTTTTTGGATCATACGTTCATTCTAATGCCTGTATGATTATGTTACAAATATTAAAATACATTCAATCTACCTCTTCTATCTAATGTCTTTACTTCACTTGTTGAACTCTACAGGAACACTGTGAATATTCTGTTTGCATTTTAGCACCCTCTTGTGGTTAACCACCAATAACGATCCATGTTAGACCCCCTGTGTGAGTTTCTAGGACCTACTGTATGCTGTAAAGGATATATGAAAGACACAGATGATCTTTGGAATTATTACATGACATTATTAATGAAATGCCCTCCTAACATGTTACACAGTGCAGCTGCTGTGAGCAGAAGAGTGAGGGATGCTCCTGCAGACCCAGACCAAAGTCCAGACTCTTCTACTGCTTCTGTTCAAGATCTCAGGTCAGCATGGCTCCATTTAATACATTTAAAGTACTATTGGATCATGTCATTTCACACTCATTTTTAACAATAGAATTATAATAATTACATTTCTGAACATTTCAGAGACTTCATCAGTGAACGCGTTCCCCCGCTGACAGCATGGCATGAAAAGTCAGTGGATTGGACGACGGCTGACTTCACTCCTTCATCTGAGTGGAGGTGAACAAACACCTGTTTAAAATCAACAGATGTCTTCAAAATCAAATTCTGGGGGCGGCAGTAGCTCCATCTGTAGGGACTTGGGTTGGGTACCGATAGGTTGAGGGAAGGACTAGAATATGGAACTGGTCTGTTTTTTGAAAGGTGCCGGGTTACTTCCTGATATCTGTCGAGGCGCCTTTGAGCACGGCTTTCCTGTTTTCATCAATCCTTCTAACAGGGAGAGCTGTTGTGGAACCTTTATTTCAATAGGTGTGGTTATCATTTTTGCTAAACTCAGTGAGTAAAAATAAGACATTTCATAGAAGCCTTATGACATTAGATAAGGCCTCTGAAAACGTACCATCTGTGACATCTCATTTATTAACATTTCCTCCTCATTGAAAGCCTAAAGTTAACTCAAACACTTGAATTGAATGTTTTATTCATTGAGTTGACAAATTGTGCATACACTACACTCTAAAGCACAAGTACTTCTTTCTAAACATTGCAGTAGCATCCTTCACATGATAGCAGCAGCTCTGATATGCATACGTCCTGGATGTGTAGGTTTTACAGCTGCACCGTGTTTTCTCTCCACTTATAAAAAAATAACCCATAAATCTTTAATTCTTTGTGAAGTAATGTCTTCAAACTGCATTAACAAATCAAAGGCCTGCAGTCTCGCTTGAACGCTGCTGCTGCTGCTGCTGCTGCTGCTGCTGAAACAATCTTTTTATAACCTCAGTAAAACACTAAATGCATAACATGCATGCTTTGTCTGTCTCCAGTCATCATTTGTGCTACAGAGATTCTATTGTTCATACAAAGGCTTCATGACACATGGAGAAGTGGAGCTGTTAGGGTTTTATTTCCTTTAAGCTTTTGGAACAAGAACAGTTAAAACATTTTACAGTATGGAGAAAGGTAGGAATTACACACACCTATGTGAGAAAGGGATTTCCAATAAGTATGAGTGCTATGAAAGGTCTGTGTTGTGTTAAACTCACTGTGGAGGATTTTTACATTGTTATTAAATATAACATATGTGCACTTCAGAGCCCTCTCCACCACCAAGCTCTCGTCCTCGTCCATTCCCCTGACTGGAGACCAACAGGCGGATTCTGACATCATGGCCTTCATCAGGGCCAGACAAAACCTCCTCAATAGGACAGGTAACACACACACACACACACACACACACACACACACACACACACACACACACACACACACACACACACACACAGAAATAATGAACACAAAGCCTTTGCAGAGGGTTAATTAGGCATCCAATGCTGCCCTCTGTTGGTGGGATACTTCACAGCACTTTTGCTTTTCACAAAAAATGTCTTGTTTTTAAACTATTTAAACCTCCTGTAAGATGCAGAAACACTTTATAAGTTATCAGTAATAAGATAAGTTGTAAATTCAGATTACATTTTGCGTTTCTTGCGAGAAGGTGATGTCATGCTTTTTTTCTTTTTTCTAAGATTTATTTTTGGGCTTTTTAGGCCTTTAATGGAGAGATGGGACAGTGGGTAGAGCTGGAAATCAGGGAGAGAGAGAGAGAGTAGGGAATAACATGCGGGAAAGGAGCCACAGGCCGGATTCGAACCTGGGCTGCCCCCTTTGAGGATTAAAGCCTCCATACATGGGGTGCACGCACTAACCACTGCACCACTGTGATGTCATTTTTGAGTCTGATTTTTTTTTACTGTTTATGCAGCCTCCCTTTTTTTACTAGCTACACAACTACTCATCTTTAGCTCCTCTGTGGTTCTCCTCTCCTCTTCTCCTCCTCTGACCCTTATGTGGCTGCTTTCTTTGGCACACGGCAAAGTGGACTTGGCTTTCTTGAGGTTTGCCACTGCAGATATCCAGAACGTCTAAGGTCATGTGAACAGACACAATGATGGCCACATGAGCAGAGACACCAGACGTAAAGAAAAAAAAGAAAAAACCAGCCTCCAAAAATCTATCCGTCTTTCTTTACTTTCCTCTCTCTTAAGGAAGACTCATTTCACGCCTCTTTACCATGGCACTACGGAGCTGGATGGGGGCTGTGTTTTACCAGGAAAGCCCTCGCATTGGTTGTTTGGCAACCCCTGTATTGAGCTATTCCTCATAACTAAACAGTCCTGAAGCCACCAGGGCATGCTGGGAAATGTGATGGAACCTGGCAAAAAAAAGAACACAGAGCATGATGTCAGAGTGGAGGCTGTTATTGTTGTGGTTGTCAAAGTTAAGAGGGTCTTTTACTTCAATTTGAGTCAGGTATTATTACTCTGACTTAATCTGATCAGACTTCTTGATTATAAAAGAAAACACTTTTAGTCGTTATCTTATCAATTTAACTTTCAACTTGTTTTGTCTCTCATGTTTTTCCTCTCATCCTTGTGTTTGTCTTCCAGGCCAACCACAGTAAGAACACAAATTGCTGAGAAAGTTGTCGGCACTTGACGCTTGAACACCCTCCACATCTGTCAGGTGCTGAAACTGAATAATTGATGTCATTGAGTATAGAGGGACCAACAGCGACGATGTGTGAAGGAATTACCTCAACTAGATTTCCCATAAAAGACTCAGCAGCAGCACATCCTGTCTGATTCGTCCATGCACAAACACACATCTGTATCAACGTGCAGCTGCATCGTTTAAGCTAAACAAACATTATCTCAAGGTATCAAAGAAAAAAGGACACCAGATGGATTCTGTGTTAAAGTAGAGAGGTGATGAATCATTCATCCTCCACATGCAGAATGCGTTTAACATTACTGTCTGTTTTAATTTGATTATCAGTGTAACACATACTGTACTTTGTGTAAAATGTTGTAAATATAAAATGTAATATATTTGCATATATTATAACTTTACATTCTGTAAAAAAAATGCAGTTGGAAATGTTGGATAAGGCTTTATATAAAGTTGATTGTAATGAGTTTATATAAACAGTTAACATGTCATAGGGCCTGATCTTGAAAGCTGTCTGTTCCTGCTCTAGCTGCACCCCGGTTGAGAAACATGGCTGTGCACAGGGCACCCATCCATCCTCATGTCTTAGGGCCTTTTAAAGATTTATTTTTGGGCATTTGTGCCTTTATTTGAGAGATAGGACAGTGGATAGAATCGGAAATCAGAGAGAGAGAGAGAGAGTGGGGAATGACATGCGGGAAAGGAGCCACAGGTTGGATTTGAACCCGGGCCAGCCTCTATACATGGGGCGCCCACACTAACCTCTGCGTCACTGCGCCACCAGTGCCCCAGAGTTTTGTAATCTTGTCAACAGAGCCTTTATAAAAGTCCTTTGCTTTTCTTGTATTTTTGCAATAGCCTCACAGACACATTTTTAGGTCTTACTAATAATTGCATTTTGTTATAGCTGAACCTGAGGTGTTTCTTGGTTGCTTTGTTTTGCCTCTGTGCTGCAGACGCCTGTGAATTCATGCAAAAAATGCTTTTGGGGTATTTTGGTAACACTGACTGTATATATGGAGTGGGTGAAGCCTCTTGGTTCCTGAACTGAAACTCCTGAAGAAGTGTTCTGAACCTGCATTCTTCCTAATGGACAGCAGGTGGCGACTCCATGTGAGGTAAAAAAGTCACACTGTGTGAAAGCAGATGAGAAAAGGAGACTACCTCTCACATGATGCACAACCTAAGAAACATGCTCCTTATATGTTAAAAAAGAATCTGTGCTCTTGAATACAGAATGATGTTTATTCTTAAGCTGATGGTCCCATTCAGAATATAATAGACAACACAGAATATAATAGACAATAAATCTTTAGGGCCTGGTTGCCCATGATTGAGAAGAAGCTACCATAGCAACCTGTTAACCAGGTGTAGCAATGCAGCTCCACCTCCTTGTCCAAATATGGTCACATCAACAAACCAATGATGGCAAGCTGCAACCATAAGATTTAAACCCAGAATGAACCAAACATTTTTTTTCTTTTACATCCCCATGAATTAGCTACACCTGTAAAAAAAAAAAAATGTTGTTTGAATGATGACTATTCTTTTCCTTACATGTCTTTCTGCACTTGCAGAAGCCTGCTGTAGTCAGCGGCTCATAGTGCTTCATTTTCCTATGGAATCCAACCAGAAAATGACCCAGGAAAATATACTTCCTGGAGTGACTCATAGACCATGAAGGACATGAAGAGGACAATCCAATTTTGTGCATCATTTAACAAGAAATGTTAATCTGTAGTCAAATTTCAAGTCTTCTGACTGCTCAAAGCACTTAAACACTACAGGACACACCTACACAATCACATACTGATGGCAGAGGTTATGTTAAGTGAACCTCAGATGTAATTAATACCATTCATACAGCCATATGCTGCTGACAAAGCAAATCGGGGATATGTGTCTTCCCAAGAACACATTGGATATGTTACTTTAGGAGCTGGGGATTGAACCCTTGACCTTGCAGTTGAGAGATGACGACAATTCCAACTGAGCCACAGCCGCCCTGACTGATTCACCTTCCCTTATAATCTCGCCTGTATTTACAGGTGAGATGTGTCGATAGGAACTCACTAACATGAACCTGTTTGTACAATTTATTGATGATAAAAGTGAATAATATCAAAATCAATAACTTCCCTCTGTAGTCTATAGGTGGAGTCTTTCCCAGCATGCACATCGTGGAAGGTATGCAACCCCCCCCCCCCTACAGGCTGTTGATCTGTATTTCTTTATTTCTTGATTTAGATAGATTTTTTTTTTTTGATTTCAGATAGATTTTTTTTGGGACTTTTTGTACCTTTAATGGAGAGATAGGACAGTGAATATAGCTGGAAAACAGGGAGAGAGAGAGTGGGGTATGACATGTGGGAAAGGAGCCATACACTGGATTTGAACCTGGGCCGCCCGATTGGAGGACTATAGCCTCCATACATGGGGCGCTCACTAACCACTGTGCCACCAGCGCCCCGTACTCTGTATTTCTTAAGATACAATATTTGAAATTCAAATAGTGTTACCAGGATTTTTCAAAGCTGTGTTGTTTATTGATTATTTTTCATTCCATGCTTAAAACACATTTGGACACAATCTCTGTTGCTCTGTTGTCACTTCATTAAGTGATTGATCTGCCGGTGCTGCTGACTTTCAGTGTATCGGTTCATGTCAGATAACCAAGTCCATCCATCATCCAGTCACATGTGAGTCATGGCTGCACACATCTCCACTAACAGCAGACAACCTGTGAACAAAGGAACATCCTCTTTGCATGGCTTTGCGTTGATTTGTTTGACAGAAGACACACAGCAGCACAATTTGCATCCCGGCAGAGTCTCCTCGGAGGAGGAGAAGAGTCTTCTTTGGTCAAGTCACGGTATCTTATGTAGCTCTTCTTCATGATGAGGGTGTATGAGTCTTTAAATGATTAAACTGATGCCAAAATGTACACACAATACAGAAACGTAACATATCTACCTCACTCTTAAAAGCAGTGGTGACAAATTAAAGGCACATTGGATACATTAATTTACAATAACTTAGCTAATTTCCCCATTCATATTAGGAGATTTCTCAGACAAGATAAACAAGGTTCAATATTTGTCAATGAAAGTATGATATATGAGATCCTTTTATGTTAAGTAAAATTCCTAGTCCACATGCAAATAATCCTTCTTAACCACAAACTACTAATTATTGAGCCTGACTTTATTTCATTTTTTTCTCAACCAAAAATATTGCAGTGGACAAAAATACAACCGCAGTTACATTTAAAATGAAATGTCAAGTAATAAAACTGTCACTGGTCACTTTTGGTGACTTTTTAAACAAATAATTAAATAAACATAAACAAATCAAATGCAGTACTGAAGGTTCCCATCAACTTAATCCAACTTAATAATCAATATTACACTGTTTCCGATACTGTATACTGTAACTTTATCCACATTTTGACACTTCTTTTCTTTCAGAAAAAGCAGTACAAAGAAAGACAAAATACTGGAACTATCGGTTTATTATGTTGTTTTTTGACATCTATCTCAGCATTATTTACATGCAATCAAAAAAGCAGCAATAGCCGACAAAAGTGCTGAACATGGAACAAAAAATCTCAAAGAATGGTCAACTGATCGGAAGAAACAAAGTGATTCAATAAATACAGACGAAAAGCCACCTAACTGGGATTCAAGACTTGAAATGGTCGACAGAGGAAGAAGATCTGGAGGAAACGCTGTTCCTCCTCCAGGGGCCTTGACTGCCAAGTGCTTATCATTTACGTAAAGTGATAGACAAAGAATATATATATAAGGATCCTGGAGGTAAGAGCTCAGTGAAATTAGTTGCATACAGTAGGAGTTGGGCAAGCCATTCAGTGCTTTAAAAACGAAACCTTAAAATCAATCCTGAAGCAAATACCATGTCAGTGAATAGAGGCCTAAACAGGACTGACACGATACCTCTACCTGGAACCAGTCAGACGTCTGGCTGCAGCATTATGGAAAAGCTGCAGGCGGGACAGGGGTGACTGGCTGATCAGCGTCAACCAGTAGATGCAACAATCAAACCAAAGGCAATACAATCATGGATTATTTTTCTTAGTAACAAAATGATACCATATAAAAGACTTGGATGGCTGTGGATACGTGGTAAAGTCTGTTGTGATTTGTCTCTCAACCTGAAGGTCGGGGATACGATCCCCAGCTCCTACAGTCTGTTGTGTCCTTGGGCAAGACACTCAACCCTAAATTGCTCCCGCTGCTTCGTCAGCAGCATTTGAATGTGTGTATATGTATGGGGTTAGCTAATGCTGATGGCCACTTCACATAGCATCTGCCATCAGTGAGTGAATGGCTTTGAATAGGTGTTAATGGGTGCCATTTAGTCCATTTATAGTTTAGAGAGTTTGTGCTTTAAGTCTAATGACTTTTGGAAGTGACTTTCCTCATGTTATGGCACCAACATCATTGTCAGAGAGTCAGTTCAGGGATCCAATAGACAGTTCAGAGTCTCTTTGTAATTCTGTGGTATCAGTGCTTGAAAAACCAACAGCACTCAGGTAAAATATTAACTTTTGTTCTGCTGACAAGATAATGCTGCAGCTTCCTTATTAGTGGAAACTGTTAAAAAAGTGAATGTGTGTGTCCAGATGTCGTGCTAATGGAGGGGAGGAGTTTGATGGTTACCCAGGCAACACTTAAATCAAACATCCAACATGAGGTCCTCTGACCACTCAGAGTAAGAAAGTGAGTCGAAATGTTTGGGGGATTATCCAGTTATAGAGCTATCACCACGAGATACAGATTAACAAAAAAGACCTTTGTTGATGTTCCAAAGCGAGCCCTTTTTAAAACTTTAGACAAATTAAATTTGTCTTTTTGGAGAAGAATGCCACAGTCCGCAGTGATGGATGCTTTTTTGAGGGGACTGCTCATGAGATCTGCATATTTCATCAGACTTTGATCATCAGTATTTTATGCAGCTCTGACCTCTCATCTGGGTTGGAACATCAGTGTTTGTGTGCATCCTGGAGCTGGAGGAGGTTAATGGCGAGGTTCCAGTTGTTGCGGGTCAAAGTGAGCTGGACAGCATTTCTGACTCTGGCCCACTTCACATACCTGCTGGTTGGGGCCACCATCTTCCGAATACTTGAGCGAGAGGCCGAGAGCAACAATCGAAACCACTTCCAGCTGGAGAAGTTGAACTTCTTGGCCAATTACACCTGCCTGGATGGACCAGCTTTGGAGAAGTTTGTTAAGGTTCATTTTTATTTAAAACCATTTTAAAATTATTTTATTTACATATGAGTGCCATGACGAGTCCTTGAAAAACAAAACAGATATTCAGTTATATTCAAACCCAAAGCTGCCAGGAGCAAGAGGGTTAGGGTACCAAGAGAGCATCAGTGGTACACACACATTCACAGGTCAGCAAATTCTGACATTTCTAATGTTTTGGTGACTAATAAAGTTGCAAAAGTTTTGTAAAAGTGTCTTTTACAAGTATCATATCAAAGTTTGAATTTTTACAATCATGAAAAACCCAAGTAGAGTCGAAAGTCTTTCAATTGTTAGGAAGGAAGTTAGATCCCAGCTCCCTTAGTTTACATGTAGAAATTTCCTTGAGCAGGACACTGAACCCCAAACTTTTCCCAGTGGCATTAACAGCAGTGAGTAAATATATATGACTGTGATTCATAAGTTAATACTGATGGCCACCTTAGACAAGCCTAAGTTTATTTACCATTAACCAAGTCCAATTACAAACAATCTAACAATCAAGACCTCTATGAATCAGAGTTATAATGATTGCCAAAACACCAGTTGTATAATATTTAAGATATTATTAAAGTCTGTTTTGGTTAACTGAGTGACTTTTATGTTGAAAACTGATCAAAAAATCTATAAACTGAAGGATCAATTCTATGACGAGTTTATACAGTAACCACAGCTTTAAAAACCCATAAGTGTGTCACGACCAAAAATATGTAACGAGAAAAAACTGCAAGAACCCATATCTTACCAATGTATTTGCCCTATATTTGTGTGTTTGCAAGGTGATATTGGACGCCAGGGAAAAGGGAGTAAACCCAACAGGCAACTCAACAAACCCCAGTAACTGGGATTTCTGCAGCTCCTTCTTCTTTGCAGGCACAGTAGTCACAACTATAGGTGAGTATCTTAACACATTCCACATTAAGTTAAGTTAGTCTGTAATACAATTTGTTGATGCTTCATATTGACACAAGTCTCAAAGTGCTTTAAATACACCATACATAATAAAAGTATCCATATGTGAGATAACGTGGCTGACAATGTGATTAATTGAGTGCAGAATTAACATGTAAAATGTCTGTGGATGATTGACAACATGAAAAACAACCAATACTTAATTAAATGCTTTTAAAAGAGACTTTGTGGAAAAGAGGTCACCTAAAAATCAGACCATTAGGCTGCATGCAGAGCATTCCTTAGATTATGTGCTATGGCCTCAAAAGGTCAATCAACATTGGTCTTAAGGCCTGTGCATGTCACAGAAGCAAGTTTGACATTTTTGACCAGAGGGAGTGAAATGATGAGCAGGAGGGAGTTAGTTGAGTCATCTATTCAGAAACATGACCTAATTTTGCTCTGTGTTTATAGAGTTAGAAATTTGGACCTGTTCCTATATGCAGCTTTTTCAGATATAAAGAACAGAGGTAACGTGGTAACAGTTGTTTTGACATTCTTGATTCACTGATTAATAGCTGACCTCCTAAGTATGGAGAAAAGTACATTTACCTGGTCAATATGAGATGAGAATAATATGTATGCTTGTATAAGCCTTTATTGCCTCAAGGCCTCAGTAGATTTGAGGACTTGGTGTTGGATGTCATTTGAAAAACTATGTTATATTTAATTCATTAATGATCTGTCCCTGAAGCAGGGAATTAAAGAGAAATAACATAGGACCCAGAACTGAGCCTTGTGGGATACCACAATGAATTTGGCTGGCTACACACTACACGATTTTTAACTGATTTTAAAAAGACAGTTTAGACCAATTTTTAACATACTATTCCTCTGAAATAACACACTAGACTATTCGGCCATATATCGAGACCACACACCTGTGTGTGTGTAAACAATTTTACAGTAGCGATTCCACAGACATGAGCTCTCACAGAAACGTGCTGGCTGTCATGGTGTGCATTCTGTTTTTAAGAAAAAAATAAAAAGAATATGGGTGAAATCTTGAATGAAAAAACAATATAAGTGCAGCTTATACATTTTATTTGTCATTTTATTTTTAATTTGTGCTTATTGTGGTTTGCCTTGCATATAAAATTACTAAGGCACTCAATATTCAACTTGGCACAAGGTTCAGTTCCCTGCAATTTTTTTTAGCTGTGCCCCACCCCAGGCAAAAATGTGGCCTCAAATAGTGTGGAGCCAGCCTTAAAAAGAAATCAGTTAGATAAAAAGATTTAATGTTGATGATGACAAACTTAAATGATCTCGTCCGCAGGTTACGGTAACCTCTCCCCCAGCACTGTATCTGGTCAAGTGTTCTGTGTGTTTTATGCACTTTGTGGGATCCCGCTGAACCTGGCCTTCCTCAAACAGCTCGGGAAGTGTCTCACCATCCACCTGGGCCGACTGGAGAGGGGAATGGTATCTGTTGTTCCTCACAAGGTACTTAAGTTTTAGTGACAGAATTTATAATAACTTCAATTTGCTGCCAAATGTCTGGCATGGGGCTTCTATACCATACAGATTTAAGGTCATTTTTGCTTTTGCTACCAATTACAGAAGAATTATTAATAGAAGAATTTCCTCTGGATTTAAACCAAATCTTCTTGTGCTGTGTTGGTTTCCTAGCAAACAGTGGAGGCTCTGGCTGTGAGCCTGTTCTTCATCACAGGCAGTCTGCTGTTTCTGGTCATCCCTCCCCTGCTGTTCAGTTACGTGGAAGGCTGGACATTTGGAGAGGGATTCTACTTTGCCTTCATTACCCTCAGCACCATTGGTTTTGGAGATTATGTGGTGGGTGAGTAGAGAGAGCAAACCAGCACAAAAGGGATGGAAAGACCACAGCTTTTACACCTCCATTAGATAAAACTGCCTCATCCTTCTGACAAATACTGAACCTAGTATGTTTTAACAACTTTTTGCAGGGGCAGACCCAGGCAAGCAGTACATTTCTCTGTACAGGAGCCTTGCAGGTATTTGGATCATTTTCGCCTTGGCTTGGCTCGCCCTCATCCTCAACATGGGAGCCAGGATAATGGAGTATGCCATCGGTCTGACTCATCCAGGTTTTAAGAAACAGGAGGAGGAAGAGGAGGTGTCATCCAGTAAACTAGAAGAGTTGTCAAGAATCTGACAGTGGACTTTGAAAAGGAAATGTCTGCATGTACAACAGACTGAGAAGAAATAATTAAGTTCAATGTTTTCTATACATATTGTGACTAATGTGACATGAAGAAGTCAGACTTAGCAGCTGTTTGTGTATCTTGAAACACATGCTTTAAAATATTTTCTAGGACACATTTTTTCTTATTTAAACGCTTTACTTTAATTATTTTTTCAGTTAGGGAAATGATTTAACATAACATAATAGGCTGGTTAAGATATTACCTGTTTGTGTTTCTATTCTTTTACAATTAAGCCCATGCATCAGTTTAGAAATAGGGATGTAACCTGTACATGTCCTTCTTTAAGAAACGTCCTTACATTTTAAATTCCCCTAAATTAAAGTGAAGATGTTCAGTTATTGAAACATATTATAAAATGAACCTCCACAAGATGCTCCCAGTTCCTCGTATTGTCACAGGCTGCAAGCTGCATGTGTAATATTCCACTTCAAAATAACATACAGGCTAACCATAGACCATAACTATGACTTTATTCTCACGAAATGACAGCTGGGGCGGCTGTGACTTAGTTGGTAGAGTCGGTCGTTTCTCAACTGGAAGGTCGGGGGTTCAATCCCCAGCTCCTGCAGCAACATGTCCGATGTGTCCTTGGGCAAGGCACTTAACCCTGAGTTGCTCCTGCTGCTTTGTCGGCGGTGTATGAATGTGTATGAATGTGGTTAGTTGCTTCTGATGGACACTTTACATATCAGCCTCTGCCATCAGTGTGAATGTGTAGCTGTGACCCGCGGTGTAAAAGCGCTTTCAGAAGACTAGAAAAGCGTTACAAGCTCAAGTCCATTTACCTTTTACCATTAAATGTCACATTTATTCTTGCAATATCGTATAACAACTCTATACTCAAAATATTAGGACTTCATTATTCTGACTTTATACTGTATTAAATCATTCTCAAAATCTCTTTTTTTTTTCGTGAGTCTGGCATTCATACTTCTAATACTCCATCATACCTATGAAGTAAAACACATGTTCAAGTCTTGTTGGATAAACTATGAACTTGATTGGTGTTTTACAGAATAGTGTGCTCACTCAATGCATGTAAATGGACCTCAGAACCTTTTATAAACACCTTTCTATATATTGTACTACAGTACACCACCACCACCCATCATTTTAATAAATGTTTCTTTTTTGACCAGGTCAACAAAAACTCTCTCTGAGAATCTTTGTAAAAGTCAAATTCATGTTAGATCTGTTTGATTGGATTTCACTGGATTGCACAGGTGGTAACAATGTAATGGCTGATTGATGTGTATGTATGTTTTTGTGTGTGCTCATGTGCGACCACATCTGCGTTTGTGTGCTGATGGTAAACTATGGTGAGTTAAGCACGGAGCGCTATCTTAAACAAACCCATTAATCAGGATGTTGGTGTGACGTGAGCTGGAAGCACATGGGACCACACAGGTGGGTGGCTTTAACCTGTTACGCTTTCTAACTCTGACTGAAACCAGTCAGAGGTGTAAGTAAAGCAAGAAGTGTCTCTTGTTGTTTGAAACCAGTCCAGATGAGAGCTGGTGAAGACATGATTTAAACTCATAAAAGGTCTTGAATATGGACTCTCTGTTCTTTGTCAACTAGAAACCACATACTAACTTCTGTAACAGCTCTCAAATGGACTATAACCAGAAACTCCGCAATTCTACCTCACCCAGTGACATCTTCAGATCAACCCCTGCCTGACTCGTCTTATTTTGTTCCTTGACATTTGCATGCCAGGCCACAGCAGTGCCTGAAACACTGGTGTCTGTGGAGAGTCATTTGCCTGCAATACATGGAAAGACGAGACGCCGAACAAACAAGCTCTCACTTGTCGCCGTCTCGCTGTCGGCACATCCGATGCTCTGAGTGCTGAGTTTTCTGTGGGACCTAAAAGTTCCAGCAGAGATGGGGATAAAGGAAATGTTCACCTGTGCGAAAGTTCCCTCCATCCTCTTGCTCGGGGTGCTTTACGTGGCCTACGTGCTGGTCGGGGGGTTGATTTTCTGGAAGTTGGAGGGAGATCTCGGAAAGAAGGACATCACCCTTTTACTGTCCAGCAAGAAGAAGCTGCTTGCAAAGTACACCTGTCTGAACCAGGAGGGCCTGGAGGCAGTGGCTCAGGTAAGACAACACACACACACAGATGATGTAAAGAATCGATTATGAAGAATCTTATCTAACAGCAATAGAAACTTTGTACTTTTACCAGTTTGTGAAATAATGCTCTGGTTAGTTAGCTCTCTACAGCTGTTTACGACATGTGTTAACTTTTTGGTTCTGAACAGATGCCACTAAATTTACATCTCGGCCACAGCCCTTCTTCTTTTGCATCTTCCAATTTCCACTTTGAGAAATGCCACTTGTCAAATATCGAGGCCTAATACTGTACTGTCCATCATTCATGCAAAACATGCAGTCATAAATGATTTGTGTTTATTAACGTAATTTACCAAAAAATAAATATATTTTTATTTGCTTACCGACAATCCATAACAAACATTATCTCAAGACACTGAACAAAAGGATCTCTTGTAGACTGTACTCTTGATTATGTTCTTTACAAAGACCCAACATGAATCCACCTTGAGCAAAGCACGACGCACCATTTAGCAAAGATACTTGAGCAGAACCAGACTCATGTTGAAACGCCATCTGATGAGTCTGTGTCTAGCCTGCAGTAACAGTGCCCATTATAATGGTAAAAGTCTCTGTACTTTTAGCAGGAACATCAAAGTCATGAGAATCGACTGATCCGCATATTTACATCAGTTAAAGTCAGCAGGTCTGATATTAGCATTGACAATAAAAAAGACGACAACGCTGAGGGACTGAGACTTATAACAGATGGAGTCGAGCAGCTCTGAGATCAACATTGGCATTATAACAGTGATAATAAGGGGCGTAGATGGCCTAGTGATCAGGTCTCGCCACATGTACGGAGACTATAGTCCCGGGTTCAAGTCTGACCTGTGGCTCGCTTTCCTCCACACTCTCTCTCCCCAGTTTCTATAACTGTCCTATCAAATAAAAGTGAAAAAGTGAATGAAAAAAAACAATGATAATCAAAGTAAGACTGATATGAATAATTGTATGTGTCTCCTGCTATACATGAAATGCAGTGTGAAGTACTGTTGTAGTACTCCAAATCGTTCTTGGTCTCATCTCGGAATCGAAAGCATTTTTACTATTTTTTTTCCACGTCATTACTTAGATTAGAAGAAAAACTTCATAATTAGATTTTTTATTTCCTGGTTATGTCCGCAACCTTCCTGGTGTTACGGTGTATATGAGTGACACACCCACTGAACACAAGATGATGATTTTTCTATGATATATATGGTCTTGGTGTTGTCTCACCTGCCTTGGTCTTGACTCGGTATCGATCCCTAAATGTCTCGGTCTTGGAGCACTCTGGTCTCTGGCATGTCTTGGTCTCTAGTGTGGTCTTGACTAAGGGAGCGGTCACACTGGCCATCCGTACCATGCCTAAGCACGCTTCAACCCTAAAGTTCAGTTCGTTTGACCAGTGTGACCGCTCCGTGCCGTGCTCAGGCACGATACACTTGCTTGGCTTTGGCACACTTCAAAGAGGTGTGCTTCGGCACGGTACACTTCATACACGAGCACAAGCACGCAGGTAAACAACACTGACAGCCTTCATTATGGAGAAATCCATAGTTTCATGTCTGTATCTGACTAACATGACTCAATATAAGCCACAAAGTAGCTGTTCTCTTCTCCGATGTGCGGCCACAAAGTCAATAAAGTAGCTGTCATGCTTTCTGTGTTGTTCTCCCTGAGAACTACAGGAAGAAATATCTACATGAAGTGTTATCAACAGGAAGTGATAACTACAGGAAGTGATAACTACAGGAAGTGTGTTCCAAAGCTTTGGAGTGTTAATCCGTCATTTTCTAAAAGCAAATCCTGCAAAAGTCACAACAACCAGCAGCAGAGGATCACTATGTTTCTGTAGGCAAATAGAAATCTCAACACCTCAAACAGTACATGTCACACTGTTTCAACATGTGGTTCTTACTCCTGACTAATAGACAAAACAACAACTATCACTGAGATGAAACACACACCCAAGACTCTTGTTCAGCGTGCTATGGTTTTGATTTAATTTCAAATAAATCCCGGAAGTAATCAACAGTATACGTTTGATTAAGGTTTACAAGGAGGAGGAGACATATAGATTTGAGTCTTAACAATGTCTGCCTTTTTATACTCATTCAGACCAAAATGATTTTTTTTTTTTTAAATTAGAAACTAATAATTAGAAAAGGAAACGCACAATTGAATATCTTGCCTGGAGTTTATGTAACAGAGGTGACTTCATTTATGCAAATTTCAGCCTGTCAGCACCTCATGTTTGACTTTGTGTCTCGCCCTGACTTGATTGTTGCAGCAGCAAACTTGTCCAATCTTCACTGTTTTGATTGTTTTCAGGCTTCTTGTTGTTGCACGTGATTTTCAGAATAAGAAAAACAACAGATTTGTGATCATTCTGCTGGTCAATGTGAGTTCAAATGTTTAAAAACTGAACTCCATCATGATGTAAAATAGATGTTGTATTCATGTCTTTGTGTCTGTTTTCTAGAGTAGGTCAATAGTACATGTGTTTGATATTATTGCATCAGCACAGAGACACTTAGGTAACAAGGTCACAGACTGTTATGTATTTCTTTGGGAGTAATTTCCCACACCGGTGATGAACTCGAGACTTTTATGTAACAGACTGTGTCCACATATCTGCTCTGCCTGACACAGAGCTGAGAGTGGGATGTTGACCTTACAGGCCTCGAGCTTTTCAGATGAGATTCAGCTCAACACATGATCACGAGTTACATAACTGAGAGGCCTCGAGTCCGACCTGAGTCAATGAAATACAGATGTGTTTCAGCTGTTTGTTTCAGTTTATCTTTATGTTATTTCTTTTTCAGGTTGTTCAGGCTGCTTCCAAGGTGGGCCTCAGTTTGAAAGGAAACTACACCTCAGACGGCTTCTGGAAATTCACCAGCTCAGCGGTGTTCGCTGCCACCGTGGTCACAACTATCGGTTAGACATCAGATCTTTTATTCCATCCTACAGAAATCAATTCAATCGTCAAGCAACCTCCACTCATCTTAACTTTGTTTCATGAACACACTTTTATACAAACATGATGCTGCACAAAGGGGAAAAAAAAGGAAAGTAAGAACAAAATGAATTTTTAAAATGGTCAGAATTGGGGCACTGATGGCTTAGCGGTTCGGTCAGGCCCCATGCATGGAGGTTAAAGTCCTCCAAGTGGAGCGCCAGGGTTCAAGTCTGACCTGTAGCTCCGGTCCTGAATGTCAATCACTTCTCTCTCTCTCTCCCATTTCCTACTCCATCCACTGTCGAAATAAATTGGAAAGCCGCAAAATAAATATGTTTATTTCACAAAAAATTCAAACCATACGACAATCAAATATCAAACATAAATCATCTTAAAACTAAAACGAAGAAATTAAAACAAGTTCAATTTTATTCGGGTTTGAATCCAACCTGAAGCTCCTTTCCTGCATGTCATTCCCCTATCTCTCTCTCTCTCTCTCTCTCTCTCTCTCTCTCTCTCTCTCTCTCTCTCTCTCTCCTGATTTCCGACTCTATCCACTGTCCTATCTCTACGACAAATGCACCAAAAAAAACCAGCCCAAAAACAAATCTTAAACGAGAATTTTTTTAAAATGTTTCAGAGGGATTCAAAAGAAGAATCAGAGAGTTTATGTCATATTACACTCCTGAACATTACCTGACATTGTCCATTTTGTGAATGCAAACTTTATGCAGATAAGTCTGCAAGAAGTGGAGTTGAGTTGATGTGTGAACAAAGCAGATAAAAATCTGGAACATTCTTGGTGAGCTAGTGGGCGGGGTCATGATGTCTTATTCTTTACTACTTGCCTCAGTTGCCAGTATTATGATTTATACTATTGTGTTTGTCTTGCAGAAATGTACTTTTAGGTGAGGTTATGATGATAACACAGAAACAGACATCTCTACAGAAGCCTCCTTCTCCTGCATGCCGCCCCCCTCAACAAAACTGATTGCTGGTTGCGAGAGCAGCTGACACACACACACACACACACACACACACACACACACACACAGTAATCTCGTGATGTGAGGTGCATGTGTCAAAGACAATTCCAGAAAGTATCAGATCCCAAATGCCCTTATTATTTTCAGAAAAGGTCATGAGTTCATGCGTGAAAGGGGCTTAAGGAGGGGCTTAAGCAGACTGAAAGAAGTGATCAGAGTATTTTTTTTACTTGCCACTCAGCCCTTTAAGTTGGGGAAACTCTCCCTTCTCATATTTATTGCAAGACAAAAATAAGGAATTAATTCAAGCACATGATGAACATTTTTATGAAAAAGGGTCTTACAGTCTGTCTCTCTCTCCACCTCAGTCGAATGACGTACTAACAGCTTACAGTTTTACAGGTTACGGGAACATTAGTCCTGACTCCACTGCTGGACAGATCTTCTGCGTGTTCTTCGCAGTAATTGGGATTCCGCTGAACATGGTGGTGCTCAACAGGGTGGGCAAGTACATGCTGGTCATAGGGAGGAACATCTCAGAGTTCCTGGAGGGGAAAACCAGGTGGAGGGTGAGGAGATCTTTGATGACGTAGTCTTACAGTTCACAACACATATGTATGTCTTTTACAGGGTGTTCATGTGTGATTTCTCCCTCCCTGCAGAAGTGCACCCGCTTTTTGGTCCACCTGGTGTCTTACCTGTCAGGAGCCATTCTCTTCTTTGTTGTTCCCATGATTGTGTTCCAGGAGCACGAGGGCTGGACCTTCTCCCAGGCCATCTACTACTGCTTCATCACCCTCAGCACCATCGGCTTTGGAGACTTTGTGGCAGGTAGCGTACATTGCTCACCTTCAGGTTTTCTAGCAAACATTTTAAATGCTTTATCCTTTTTATAAAGTAGATGTGCTGAAACCAGCAAATAAAATACTGAACAAAGTTATTAAACATTTAGGCTCTCTCTGAGGCTATTCTATCAAACAATAGACTGTATGAAACATGGATGTAGTCTCAATGACATCACCCATTGGTTTCTGAAAGGCATTTTGAAGCTGAACAATGGCGGCCGCCATATTGGAAATTTGCCAGGAGGCCCACCTCAGCTCCAATTCTTTACCTGTTTCTAGATTGATCGAAAGTTAGAACTTTCAACTTGCTATTTTTGAATTACTTAGTGACAGCAGTTTCAATGTGGCTACCGCAATTGTCCTGATTAGAATTCCCCTTTGGGGGACGTCACTGAGACATTGTCCATGTTTTAAACAGGCTCTGGCAACAGTGCACCCACCTCTCAGTCTACTTAGCCTGCCTCTGATTATGCAACTGTATGCATAGCTATTTGCCCTAATACATTTAAGTTATAAAAAGATGCACACCATGTAGCCTATAGTTTGACCAATAAAGAAATGATCTTTTTCTCTGCTGTAAAAACGAGCCGTTTAACATAAGTTATTGGAGCTTCGCAGACACTCGAGGAACTGAACAAGGACGTTTTTTGCTCCTCCACATTGGCTTAATTTTTCAAAACTGCGGCTGGGATCAAACATGGTTTAGGGGGGGCTGCAACCTAAGCTGCTGCTAGGATGAAACTACATGGCTTCTTGGAAGTTGGCTTGTTTTTCATTCCGTTTCATCTTCAAGCCATCATCTCAGCTCAAAAACAAAAATACAGTTGTTAAAAAACATAAAAACAAAGGAGCCTCTCGGAGCTCCTCACACGAACAGCTGACGGTATAAGTTGCTGCGAGCTGTGCAGCTGGTTTCATTGATTTGTATTTATAACATTTATTACAGTAAATATTTTATCTACAGAGGTCTCCTGTTCTAAACAAGAATGAAGTAGTTTCAGCTTATAAGTCAGTGTCTCTCCAGCGAGCTTCACAGGACACAGGAAGGCCAGCGGAAGGTCTGCTAGCTGAGCTGCTACTGACAGTATGTCCTAATCAGTGACGTCATGTTAGCATGTTTGCAGCATGAGCCTGTCCAATCTTTGGAGGATATTGGACACTTTCATATCTTTAGTTTCCAGGTTTTTTCCCCTCTTCAACAGAGATCATCAACCTTTTTACCTTAGACCACAAACAATGCCTTGCAGTACAGGAAGCAGGCATGTAGCCCTTCACTGATACTGATTAACTCTTTATTTCACAGACAGTAATCCAGACAAAGTGTACCCAGAGTGGTACAGCATCCTCATGGCCAGTTGGATTTTCTTCGGCCTGGCCTGGCTGGCTTTGGTTATCAATCACACCATCGACATCCTGGAGCGGATCAACACCCACTTCAAGCTGTGGTGGACCGGACAGACGCCAGAAAAGTCCGGCAGTGCGGAGGACGACAGCCCGGAGATGCAGGAAACACAGGTGGAGGAGGAGGACGAGAAGAAGTCTCCAATAATTGAGTAAACGTCTAAATGAATGTTCAGTAAGCTGACATTAGTGATAGAACAATAATAATAATAATACTTTATTTGTATAGCACTTTTCTTCTGCTTTACAACAGAAAATAAAAGCAGAGAGACAATTAAAGCAACAAGCAGAGCGTCAACAAGCAGACAACAAAATCAGACAAATAAAATAAAAATAAGAACAAATTATCGAAATCACAGAGTAAAAGCATTTTTTATAAAAGAATGTCTTGGGTAGAGACGTAAAACAAGGGACTGAATCTGCAAGTCTGATCTCCTCTGGCAGGCTGTTCCAAAGTCTGGGGGCTCGAACCTCAAAGGCCCTGTCCCCTTTAGTTTTTAGCCTGGACTTTGGAACAGCCAGTAGGGCTCTGCCAGAGGATCTCAGACTGCGTATTGGTTCATAAGGGGTCAAAAGCTCAGAAATATAAGAAGGGGCCAGCCCATGTTGTGCCTTAATTGAAAGAATCTTAAAATCAATTCTAAAATCAGTGAAGGGATGCTAAGATTGGTGTGATATGGGACATTTGTTTGTTGTTGTTAAAAGCCGGGCTGCTGCCTTTTGGATAGTTTGAAGACGGTGGATTGATTTTTTTTACTTAGACAGGTGTATAATGAATTACAGTAATCAAGCCTGGAGGAAAAGAAGGCGTGTATGAGTTTCTCCAGATCTTTGTGCGACGTGAGGGATTTGACCTTTGCTATATTTCTGAGCTGGTAAAAACAGGACTGTACAACTTAATCTGTCTATGGATCAGGATGAGAGCAGCAGAGTCATGGAATGCAGCCAATTTTATAAAGGATGTTGGTGTGTTTGAAGGATGTAAATAATGAGATACTGTGATTATGTAATGTGTGACGGATCATCAGTTTGTACGTTTTAATGCTTTTCTTCATAAGTGCATTAAAATATCGACTCTTTTTTTGTTGAGTCAGCTTTGTTTCACAGCTTCAATACTTTATCCACATTCAGTTAAGTCTGTTAGCATTATATTTACCAAACTGTAAACTTCTATTGTGTTCATTTACCTGGTTTATAAAGACTTCTGAGGTTTAAGACGCTCCATGGCACAACATGAGAACAATATGCAATGTGCAATAACAATGCTAAATATAGAGATAAAAACAGCAAAAATCTGTATCATTATTTTAAAAAGTAATATGACAACATTAGGAAGTGGATTCAGTTACTTTAATGCTCAGATAACAAAGCTATCCATGTAAATATATATAGCAGTTAGTATTCCTCTGTTAGCTTATAATTGTTTGTCATTTGGGAATATAAACTGATTTACAATCCTGGATCTGTGCAGTAAAATGTACACCAACTGTTTTCTTCTTCTGAAATTTGACTTTCTTTCACTTTCAATGCAGAGCATTGTGCAAAGCTAATGAGTGTCAGTCATGTTGCCTGAAATGAGCATTTAATCCACTAGAGGGTGTTACTATACCAACACTGAAGAGACTAATTACTGCACCAGAAACACAAAACATATTGTGTATTTGTCTGTATAGAGCTTTTATCACTGAAACATATAATGTTAATCATATTCCTGAGTCAGTGTACTCCTACATTTAAAAGGAAGAATGTCAAGTCTCATTGAAAAGATATTTAAATGGATACAAATTTTGCAAAGCAATTTCCATCACATGTAAATCCTTGTCCATTTGCATTATTAAATAAACAAGTACACTTTTCTTTGCTATGGACTTTTCTTGACACAGTAGAAAAGAACTCAGCAGTGAAAGATAGAAGCACTTCTTGAGGCTCGTGTATAACAGAGTCAGTCAGCAACAACAGAAGAGACAAAAGAGGAGTCAATGATAAAGACAGACGGCAGCAGCAGGAGTAGAGGATGGAGAGAAAGACGATGCTGGGGAAAAGGCACAAAATATTTGTGCAAAACTGCAGACAACAAAGAGAGGAAGATGAGGGCAGAAACAGGCATTTTGCTTCTTTTTCTTTTTTTCTCTGCCGGGGATGGTGTAGAGTATGGATGGGAAAGTGACAGGACTGGGTCTGTTGTTCCACAAAACGCCACATACCTGTTTGGCCACGGTTCAATGAGGGCTCAGTATGTGAGAGAAAACAGGAGCCTCTCACTTTTTTCTGTATGATCCACTTTGTGTTGGTCACTTACTGTCCACTGAGAAATGATCCTGAAAACACAGTGACCATGTGTGCTGTGGGTTTCTGCCTCATCCTCCTTTTCATTTTTCATTTTTCAAAACCTTGCGATGTGGGGCGCTGGTAGCCGTTGGTGAGTGAGCGCCAGAGTTGGAAATTAGCAACCTCCAAATACGAGTGTTTTTCTGCAGTGACGGATGAATTTGCTCAACTTTTACCAGTCACAGTGGCTGGTAAATAAAAGTAACCTAACAGAGTGATTCTAAAACAACAAATAGATGATCTTGCCTCTCAGTCGAGGTTCATTTGCAACTAAATCAGTCAATGCCTTTCAGGACATGTCTGCAATGGAAACTCTTTCCAGCCTCAAAATCATAAACTAAAATAAAAAAAAGTTTTTCTGTTTATGAGCATGTCAGTATTTCCTTTTATAGTTGAAACATTTCCCTTCATAAAATAACCTGTTGCTTGAATACTACCAGCCTTGATTTGATATTATACGTCCTTACATAATGCTGCCGGTTCAAATAAAGTGGCAGGTAAAAAAAAAAGAGTGACTGTTATATTTTTGAATCCACCAGTCACAGTGGCAGGTAGGCGGAAAAGTGAATTTCCGGCCCTGGTGCAAGCGCCCCATGAAATTCCCCTTCTATCTGTCTCTCTCTCTCTCTCTCTCTCTCTCTCTCTCTCTCTCTCTCTCTCTCTCTCTCTCTGATTAAGAGTTTTAACTCTTAATCAGCTCCCTAAATTAAATCTGTCGCCAGTTTGAGGAGGGCTGGAGCCGATCCCAGCTGCCATGGGGCGATATGCAGGGTACACTCTGGACTGGACGCCAGTCAATCAGAGGGCTGACATATAGAGAATAAAACTAAAAGGCACACTAACATGCACACCAATGGGCAACTTCTGGATTGTGGGAGGACGCTGGAGAACATGTAAACTCCACACAGAAAGGCACTGTCAAACGGGGATTTGAACCTGACACCTTTGTGCTGTAACCTGTCAGGGCTAACCACTGCACCACCATGCATCCCTCTAAAAAAAAAGTTTTACACTCTTAATCAGCTTGTTGTTGTTGTTTTTGCTAACAAATTAGCTTGGTGTATTTGTCAAGATTCCATCCGAGTTCAACATTTGCAAGTAAACAACTGGAATCTGACCGCTGACATGCTTAAAAAAAGGACCAAGATCTTCAAAGTCACAGTTACTGTATGTTCATTTAAATAGTGAGGAAGCGTTTGGTTGGACGTATTCTAATGTCTGGTGTGTGAGCTACGAACTGCAAATTATTAGCTGGTGTGGCGTCCATTATTTTGCTGTGCCATAAAATGTTAGATTACCCATATCAAGGGAACGATGTTTATGACATGTGACATGTTTAATGACATTCCTTTTTATCACAATTCAGTATCCAAATTGTTTTATTACCCCACCCTAATATCTTCTAATCAAGTCAAATTACAGATAACATTTATTATCATGTACATTTGGCTGCTGTGCATGACAAAGCACTACTTGGACCGATTGGTAGATTGGAGCAATAGTCGGTCTTGGTACTTGAACTTGTGACTGTCCGGTGCGTTCAGGTTTTAAATTCATCTCCAAACAGTAGATGATACACTTTTTCATAAAGGCATAAACATTAAACAGGGTACAGTTTGTACATTTCTATTGTGGACTGCACATGTTTAATAGTTGGGTCATAAAGGCCATTTTATTTTCCACATAGCTTTATAATATATATACATCATGTCTCTCAAACATGACAACATAGGAAAGTTGATTTCTAACCATCTGTTCTGATCGTTAAGGATACCATCAAATACATCTTGAACCGTTAAGGTGAATAGTGAATGGTCAATTTATGGGACTAGTTAATCAGTGTCTTATAATTTGAACACTCTCAGACTGTTAAAGACGTACTGCTGTATGGGTTAGGGCCTACATATATCAAGTTCAATCAGGAGAGACTTCATTAAGAAAGAACAATTATTTATTTAACAATTTAGGAAATTAATGTGCAAAGTCTTTGGGGATTTGACTCCATGACGACTTCATGCACTCTGAGGGGTAATGATGCCGACAGCAGGATAGGATACCCCCCTATGGAGTAGACCCTGGTGGTGGTGGTGAAGAAGGAGAATGGAGGCTGTTATGAGGAGTGGGTTTCTGAGGCTGAATCTGGACTCTTCTGAGCTGGAATGGAGGTGACTTGGGCGGAGGAGGGTCGAATCGATCACACTGAAATGACAAACTGACTTCATTAAAAACATTGACTGTGAGTTCAAAATAAGAAAATCTTTCATTAGTGACCTTCCTGTAACTGATGTACACGTTCAGTGCAGGAATAACTTCTCGGTGAAGGAATGATTTCCTCAAACAAAACGTCAAAAAGAGTCAAACTACTACAACACTGGTTTTGTTCTCTGCAGTGGATTTGTTGATTCTGTTAAAAACAAAACTATATCTACCACTGCACTGACGTTTGTTTGTAATGAATGAAAGCCAGCTTCATTGTCTTTAAATCAGTTTCCTTCCAACATGTGCTCTTTTGTGAGATACAAAGGAGGAAACTAACATTTTTTTAAAGGATCTTATACATCCTCATCACTAAGATATTTTCTCCAGCTGACAACAAATGAGGCTCCCCCGAATGTAAAATATTTATTATCAGTGACAAGTAAAAACATTGCAAAGCATCTTTTGTGATATTTTATGGAGGTTTTTCAACATGTGGTTTTCAGCTTGCATAACAAATGCATTTGTAACACTCCCTGCAAATCTTCATAGAACTTTTGATACATGCCTGCCTATGTGGTTTAATGTAACAGTGTGCAAACACTACTTTGCAGCTGCACACTGCACAGCTGCTACTTTCCTCTGAAGGCGACAGCCGTGCTTTTCGAGGATCCGCTTTCAAGTGGGTTCTAATATATGTGACATTTTGTGAATAAAAAAGTCAGTGTTCT